TGTTTCCCATTCAGGAGTGAGGAATCCAACCTCCAGAATGCGCTCCGGGCTGACAGAGCTCACCGCACAGCGATGAGAGAGGAAGCTCTGCTGGCCTTTGGGCATGACTAACACCACAGCACAGCAATCCCTTGGTCAGGGTCCAGAATTCTGCCAGGTCTCCGGGTTTCAATGAGGACCTTCTGCTCTGACTCATGCATGGGAATCATCATCCTCAGCAGTGGGGCTGTGTCACAGTGCCGGGGTGGGGGAGCTCCATCTCTGGGTACTGTGCCTTCTACCACAACAGGACGGCCCTGGGCACCCCATGCCCTCGAAGAAACTTCAAAGCAACAGCACGGCACCTCCTGCTAGCAGGGAGTGCTGATGAATAATAGAATGGACCCACCCACTCTCACTTTAATCTGTCATGTTCTATGGAAATTAAGCCTTTCTCTTACAAGCAGGCAATTTGCGCTCTTGGCATCTCCAGCGAGAGCGAGCTCTCAGCTCTTCTGCTGGGTTATTGATACCTTTTGTATAAAGCAATGCAGTGCCTAATTGGGCTCTTTGCCTATTCCAACGCGCTGCCAGCAAGCAGAACCTACAGCAGCCCTTAGCAGAACGCAGCTCATGGTGCTGTGGGGAGAAGTTGGACATGAAGAAAACACATCCTGGGCAAACAGGCACCACTCCCCTAGTGGCTCGCAGGTGCAAGCCCGGCTGGCTCACACAGGTGTGTTTTCCTTGCTCTGATCTGGGCCAGGGCTATAAACAAGCAGGCAATCCCTGAGCAAGAAAGGGCTCCTTGTGTGCTGCAAGCACTTGTGCCAAGCTGGGGGAGTGCGGGGGTTTTATGCCCCTCCTTTCCTGTGTGTTAGGAAAGCATCTCGCTGCTGGACCTTGCATCCCTGCCAGCCAGAATGCAGCTATTTGAAGAGGCTGCACCTGGAAGGAAAGATGGAAAGGGCTGGAGAGAGCTGGGGGTGCCCACAGCCGTGGGAGGGAGTGTGGCACTGCGGTGCGTGGGGCTGCGTCTGTGCCCAGGTGGTGCTGGGAAGAACTGTGCCTTTTCATGGAGCTGGGTGAGGCTGGAGGTGATGCCTGCGCCCTGCGTGCTTTGAGGAGTTGGGGGGTGCTGCGTATCCTGTGATAAACTGCCTCAGGAATGAGGGTGGGGAGTCCAAAACCAATAGGTGGGGGAAACCAGTGCCAGGGTCACACTGCAGCAGGGCCAGAAAGCAACTATGTTAAATGCTAAAATCCTTCCTTCTGCCACTTTGGGTCCTTCTCTGCTTCAAAGGGGTTTGGAGGTAAGGAAACTGATGGTTTGTTTTGTTTGGTTTTTTAGTTTTATTATTATTATTGTAAATGAAGCTTGACCTTCTGTCAGGGTGAAGGACAAAGCCGTATCTACCCATGGAACTTGAACTGTGAGAATGGATGGGACAAGGCACAAACCATCTGTCTACAGCGCCCTCCACCTTCCCAACCAAATTCAGGGGGGTTCCTCACACCTAACCCATGGTATACAGCATCTCCAGCAGCACCACGGGGCACAAGGGAGAGCCTGGCTTGTGCAGGGCTGGATCTGGAGCCTGGAAACTCATGCCTGGGGCAGGAGGAAGAAGGAGAGCACCCAAGCGGAGTGGAAAGCTTGCTGTAAGGCATGGAAGGAAGGAGCCACGCCAAACCCACAGGCTCCTATCCAGCTCTTCAAAGTGAGCATGCCAGTCATTACAGAGGGGAGGGAAGGAGAAGGTGATGAACAGCAGTGCACAGAGCTGGGAAAAGGGAGGGATGCTGTGAGGGAGTGAGGCCAATGGGTTGGGGTCTGCCAGAGGAAAACAAATGTGAGCAGGAATGTTTAACTGATTTCAGAAGAGAACCCCCAGAGTCATTGAGATGTGTCACTGGGGTTCAAGGACAGAAGAAAAGTTCCTTACCCTGAGACAAGCAGACTCTTATTTAAGGATTTTACTTGTTTCTGTGGTGCCAGGCAGCCAGGAGAGGAGCAAGGGGAGCAGCAGCAGCAGTAGGAACAAACCCTGGCCAAGCCCAGAGAGGCGATGGTTTACATTAGAGAAGGCTCTAACGTTGCGCGATGGCCTCTAAGTGCGTTTTGATGATGATGATGATTATTTTCAACTGAGCAAATGGCAGGAACACGGGCAGGGTATTGGAAAGCCATTTGGCTCTGAGAACAACATCCAGTGGTGCTGCTGAGCCCCTGCCAGAGGGACTGCTGCTGTGCTGCAGGGACTGCTCCCTGCGTCGGCAGCACGCTGCTCCCCACTGCTGTAACCATCCTCACTGTTTGGGCAATGACGAGGGTTGCATAAGCAGGAGTCAAAGTCAATTTGCTATTTTCTCCTCCCTTGATTTCAGCTTCCAGGGAGCAAAGGATGGTGTGTTTAGAAGCTCTGTTGACACCCCTCTCCCAACAGTGAAACGCTTCTGAGCTTTTCCCTTTGCAGAACAGCTCGCAGGAGAGCCCTGCATTCAGCTCCTCACAGCCTCACGCTGCCCTGTGATCCCTTTTCCCCCTCTAGACAAAATAACAAGCTCTCTCCTTTCTCAGGACCGCGCGCTTCTTTTCCAGACTTGCCTCAGCTCTTTCATCACGCCAATAAAGAAAAAAAAGCCAATGCATCACACGTTGGCTGCGGAGAGCGGAAACCCTTAAACATCTGAGAGCCGGGAGCGAGGCGCTGTGATTTGCAAGGCCCCCTCTGCCCTCGTTGGGTCAGATGCCTTTTGCTCTGAAGGAAGAGAGAGGGGACTTGTTAAAACCTTGCCTGTTTCTCAGTCTGAGGTCCCGTTTTGGCTGTCCGGAGGCTGAGGCGTGAGCTGGGAGTGGGGCTGCCGAGGGGGGCAGGGCAGCGAGCCTGCAGCGTGCAAACAGATTGTGCAATATTTGCCTTGCACAGAGCTCCCATTGTACAGCCTGGGAGTTCTGCTTTCAATAATTCCCCTGCTCATAATGCCTCATTGATGGCGAGAGAAAGGCAGTATTGAGCGCTGAAGGGGCTCCAGCTTTGAAAAGGGTTAAAAAATAAAGAAAAAGGGGAGGGGAGTGGGGGGAAAGGAGATTTGAGGCTTAGTTTTAAACTCTGCTGTGTGGCCCTTATGGTAAATCACAGCCGCTGAGAAGTATGCAGAGAGCTGTTTGCATAACCCGGTGTGCAGCAAATGCTCTTGAAGCCCAAACACGAGTGCGGCCGGAGCTGGAGGTGGTGGGGAGAGAAAGCAGGAAGGGCTGTGATTATTTTAATTCTTGCCCCAGGCCACATTAAATTAATAACAAAAAAAAGAAAAAAAAAAAAAAGAGCGAATATCCAAATATTTGGTTAGAGAAGCAGCTGTGCAAATGTGAGCCGCTGTGCCAGCTGCAGGGACATCGGTCAATGCTCACCGCCTTGTGCTGATGGCTGGGGAGCATCTCGTGTGCTGCTCCGGGCTGGAAAGCACCAAAAGGAGCCCCGAAGCCTTTGTCTGGTGGCTTCACCCATCGCTGCTGTAGAGGTATGGTCTCAACTGGAAAGTGTCTGTAGGTGTGTGGAAGCGCTCGGTCTGGGGGATGCTCTGCGTGCTGCGATGCTGCCAGCCCTGCAGCTCTCACCCCACGGGGCTCCCATTGCTGTGGGCTGGCAGAACTGCCAGGCAGATGCAGGACCGAAGCGGCTGAGGGCTTGGACTGAGAATGCCAACATCAGCAGCTGTAGCCAGGCGGGTTGCCAGGGGAATCCTCCCTGTTGTGCAATGCTGAAGCTCTCCAAGGATGCTCCCAGCTCTTGAGACATCTCAGAGCGAGACCGGGCAAGTGACTGCCGTCAGTTCCCAGCAGTGAGAGGAGTGACTACAGGCCCTGAGCACTTTTTCCATGTGTGGAGCTTGTGATGCATTAATCACCCCTAGAGCAGCATTGCTGCCGGCTGCAATCGTCCTGACCTGAACCTTAGAGCTCTCGTTTCTTCCTCTCCCTCCTCTTCTTCCTCCTTCCCAGCTGCTCCCATCTCCTGCCTCTAACAATCCCAGCAGGGCTGCTCTGACAGCACCATTTATGCATGTTAGGTGTTAGGAAAATCTGACACAGGGAGCCAGGGGGGTCATTCTGCCTAGAGGTGTTCAAGGGGTATGGAGATGTGGCACTGAAGGATGCAGTCACGTTGGGCATGGTGGGATGGGTTGGGGTTGGATCGTAGAGGTGAGTGGGGACACCTCCTTCCTGAGCAGCACCCTTTCATCAAGTCCAGTTGTTTTCTACAAAGAGGGAATTGTTCAAAGCTGAGGAACTCAGGGGAGAGCGGAGAGGCGTGCGGGAGGAGAGCGGTGCAAAGGAGAGAGGGGAAGGGAGGAGAGGAGCAGCAGAAGGAAAGAAAGATGAACTGATGAACCCTCGGGGCTTAATCAAACCTTGCTGAAGGGTTGCAGGGAAAGGCACAGCCAAGTGCCAAACGTCCCCACTTCTGTGCCCTAGCATGCCTGATGTGGGGTGGGGGGGAGACATGGGATGGGAGGGCTATGGGGGAGTGTCTGGGGCAGAGAATGTGGGGACGGCCCAGGGAGGAGATGTGGAGGAGGAGAGCCCAAGGAAAGGGGTGTGCAGGGGAGGGGATGTGGAGGACCTAAGAGAGCAGAGCCTGGGGGGGACACAGCAGGGGGAGGCCCTGGGGAGAGGGTGTGAGGATGGTGGAGGGACCTGGCAAAGGGAAGTCTGGGGGAGGGGGGAGTGAGTGGGGGGCCCACAGAGGGAAGGGAGGGTATGGTGGAGGGGGCTCAGAGGGAAGGGGACAGGAGGCCCTACAGAGGGGAGCCTTCTGGCTCAGCTGCTCCTGGGAGCTAAAGCTCTGCAGAGCTGTCCCAAAGCCCACGCTCAGCCCTTGCCATAGCAGCCCTGCGGTCCTGAAGTCAGACATGGAGTGTGCATGGGTTGAGGGGAAACATGCTGGGTTGCACTGTGTGTTGGGAGCCCTCCGTTCCCATCCACACAAGGGACATAATGGTGCCAAACTGCTCACCTGGATCTGTGTTCTGAGAACAGTGTGCGCTTCCAAACTCCCTGTCCTGTGCCAAGTCCTGCCCTAAGGAAAATTGAGGAGAGAGGTGTGTGCCATGCACAGTGCTGTCCTGATCCCTCATGGATGCAGACCCTGCAAAAGGAATTATACAGGATTGTCCCTCTCAGCTCTCCCAAAACTCCCCCAAAGCGCTGAGGCAACAATGTGGCCCCTTGTCCCAGTACCTACACCTAGATCAGCACTTCTGTATGGGCATGGACACCTATTTTACACCAAACCCTGCCCTGGGCTGTCTGTGACCATGGCACTCCCAGTCCCTCTCTACCTCAGTTTCCCCATTTATAAAATGAGTGCAGCAGTCCCCATCCCATAATACATACATATTCCTAATTATCGGCATGCCCTGCAGCGGCCTGCTTCACCACTGGAGACGTCCCGACAAGTTTCTGCAGCTCTCCTTTCTTTGCCCGTGCGCTATCTGCGCGGGGCTGGACGGGTGCCGTGCGGCTGCGGGTCGGGGCTGAGCATCGCAGCGCAGGGGCCGTGCTGCGGAGAGGCGGGCAGCCCCGCTTAGGACCCTGCATGCTTTGGGTTTTCCCAGCTTTTTCCTGGAGTCGCTGAGCGAGCGGGGAGGGGCCGAACTTGCGGCTCCCCATAAACCTGGACGCTGCGCCCACGGTCCGGGCAGCTGTGCGAACTCGCGTTGTCCCTCGGAGGCTGCGTCCCCGTGTCCTCACCCCCCGCGTGGCTCTGCGCAGCCCTCCTGCCCAACCCACAGCGCTGAGTTTCCAGACTGAGAAAGACTTTGGGAGAAGAGAGAAGAAGAAGAAAAAAATTTTTTTTTAAAAAAAAAGAGGAAAAAAAAAGCCATGGTGGTGTGGGCTGGTCGAGAAATTCTTCGGGAGAAGACGGTGAGAAAAGGACACAGCGGCTGTTTCCCAAAGGGTGAGGAAGGGAGCGCGGCACCGCTGGGCTTGAACTTTAGCACCCTCTTCTGCGGGAGTGTAAGTAAAAAGATCGGCTCATCCTGAGCCAGAACGGCGCTGGGGCGGAGGAGAAGGCGGCCGCTCACTGCGGAGTGGGTTTTCTGTGCTGCTTTGGAAAGAAATAACAGGGGAAAAAAAAAAAAAGAAAGAAAGAAAAAAAGAAAAAAAAGAGACGCGTTGAGAAGCCAAAGAGTGCTTGTAGCACTCCGAGTTGCTTTGGGGCTGTTCCTAATCACCGCGTGAGGAAAGGAAAGCCGTGCATGTGGGTTTGATTGGAGCGGCGCGATGCTTGTTTTCTTTTGACCGATCGCAACCCAGCCCCGCCGCTCCGGGCTCTTTGTGTGCGTGTGAGCGTGCCTCGATGGGAGCTCGTCCCGCTCCACTCCCACCCGCCATCCCCTAAGCTGGGGCTGTCCGAGGAGGGGGCATCCCCACGTGTGGCTGCGATGCCGGGGCTGTAGGTCGCTCTGTGGGCAGCACGCACCGCTCTGGGATGGCTGTGTACGCCCTCACCGGCTTCTCGCTGGTCAGCCTGCTCAGCTTTGGCTATTTATCCTGGGACTGGATGAAGCCTGGCTTGGTGGCCGACGTGGCTACGAGCCCCATGGAGAAATCGCTGCCTCCCTCCTTCACCCGCCCGCCGCACATCATCTTCATCCTGACCGACGACCAGGGCTACCACGACGTCGGGTACCACGGCTCTGACATCCAGACGCCCACCTTGGACAGGTTGGCAGCCGAGGGCGTGAAGCTGGAGAACTACTACATCCAGCCCATCTGCACGCCGTCCCGCAGCCAGCTGATCACCGGCCGGTAAGCCCCCATTGCGCATTCCTATACGGACCTCTCCTCTCCCATAGCTCTGCAAGGCTCACGCCCCGCTCGTCGCAAGGCACGTATCCCCATATGTTGGTAGATACTTCATCACTGCTGCAGTTGGACTCGTGATGGATCCCTTCCAACTTGGGTTATGCTGTGATTTTGTGCTGGAGATCCTCTAGAGAAAAGAGCCTTCCTGGCCCCGTTGGGTAAAGAGTTGATTTGTGCGTGGTTTTGTAATAGCACATGGCAGGTCACCAGCAGTGAAAATGTTGCTCCAAGCAACCAAAAGTCACTTTGAGAAAAGGCAGTCCCTGCCCATGAGGTCCTCTGGTGGTGGGGCGAGGTGTCTCCACTTGGACGACACTGCAGACTTTGGGTTGGTTTCTTCTCACGTGGGAATTGGCTGCTGGGCTGTCAGGTGGAAGGATGCTCCCTTGCACTGCCAGCTCTGCCTTAGGCTGTGCTTTTCCTGCTGCTCACTCAGTCTGCACTGAGCAGGGCAGGGTGGGTGGAAGGTTTCTCCATCCCATTGGGCACATCCTGGTTTCCTGATCGTGAGCCTTTTAGCCTCCTGGGAACTGATGGGGCTTTCCCTGGAGGAAGACTGGGATGATTTCCCTGCCCTGGTATGATTTCCCAGCATTTTCTGTAGGAGACATTTAATCAGCATCCCTCAATGTGGTGGCTATGGATGTGGTCACCTACTGCCTGGGGTGGTGGAGCTCAGTGGGGTCCAGACAAAACCTTCTCCTCTCTCCTGATGGCTCCAGAGGGAGCTCAGGCATCTCTGGGGTGTGCAAAAGAGGATGAGGATACATCTGCACTCAGGCCTCAAGTTGCACCAGGGAAGATTCAGGTTGGCTATTAGGAAAAATTTCTTCTCAGAAAGAGCAGTGATGCAGTGTTACAGCGCCCCGGGAGTGAGGGGATCACCTTCCCTGGAGGTGTTTGAGAACTGTGGAGCTGAGGAACGTGGTGGGGGGAGGTGTCAGTGGGCATGGTGGGGGTGGTGGGTTGACAGTTGGACATCTTTGAGCACTATTCCAACCATACAGTTCCATGGGGAAAAGCAAGAGCACATGGAGCCACCTCCTTCCTGAGCCAGCGCCCTTCTGTGATTCTATGATAAGGAGCTCTCTGTATCTGGCACAGAGCTGCTCCATGGCTGCGTAACACAGAGAGCTGCACATTACTGGGGTCTCCAGAACACAAACTGCAGCCATGTCCCACCCAGCATTACTCTCATCACCACTGATTTGGCTCTTTCCTGCAGGTACCAGATCCACACAGGGCTGCAGCACTCCATCATCCGCCCCCGGCAGCCCAACTGCCTGCCCCTCGACCAGGTCACCCTGCCCCAGAAGCTGCAGGAAGCCGGTTACTCCACGCACATGGTGGGCAAGTGGCACCTCGGCTTCTACAAGAAGGAGTGCCTGCCCACCCGCAGGGGCTTCGACACCTTCCTGGGCTCCCTGACGGGCAACGTGGACTACTACACCTACGACAACTGCGACGGGCCGGGCGTCTGCGGCTATGACCTGCACGAAGGGGAGAACGTGGCGTGGGACCAGAGCGGGAAGTACTCCACCTTCCTCTACGCCCAGCGTGTCAGCAAGATCCTGGCATCCCACAGCCCCAAGGAGCCCATCTTCATCTACGTGGCCTTCCAGGCAGTGCACACTCCGCTGCAGTCACCCAAGGAGTACATCTACCGCTACCGCTCCATGGGCAACGTCGCTCGCCGCAAGTACGCGGCCATGGTGACGTGCATGGATGAGGCAGTGAAGAACATCACCTGGGCCCTCAAGAAGTATGGTTATTATGACAACAGTGTGATTGTCTTCTCCACGGACAATGGTGGGCAGACGTTCTCTGGGGGAAGCAACTGGCCGCTACGGGGCCGCAAAGGGACGTACTGGGAAGGGGGTGTGCGTGGCATCGGTTTTGTCCACAGTCCTTTGATCAAGCGCAAGCGACGGACCAGCTGGGCACTGGTGCACATCACAGACTGGTACCCGACCCTGGTGAGTCTGGCCAGGGGCAACCTGAGCAACGTCCCAGGCCTGGATGGCTACAACGTCTGGCCTGCCATCAGCGAGGGGAAGGAGTCACCGCGAACTGAAATCCTGCATAACATTGACCCCCTCTACAACCACGCCAAGTATGGCTCCTTGGAGGATGGCTTCGGTATCTGGAACACGGCCGTGCAGGCCTCCATCCGCGTCGGGGAGTGGAAGCTCCTCACCGGGGACCCCGGTTACAGCGACTGGATCCCCCCGCAGACGCTGACCAACTTCCCGGGCAGCTGGTGGAACCTGGAGCGGCTGACCGACGGCTTGAGAAAATCTGTGTGGCTTTTCAACATCACCGCAGACCCCTACGAGCGCTATGACCTCTCGGAGCAGCGCCCCGACATCGTCCGAGCTTTGCTGACCCGTCTGGTGCACTACAACCGGACGGCCATCCCAGTGCGCTACCCTGCTGAGAACCCCCGCGCCCACCCTGACTTCAATGGAGGTGCCTGGGGGCCTTGGGCCAGCGAGGACGAGGTGGAGGAGTGGGAAGGTGGTGGTGGGGACCCCCCCAAGGGTCGGGGCAAGAAGAAGAAGTGTAAGATCTGCAAACTGCGCTCCTTCTTCCGCAAGCTGAACACCAGGCTCATGTCCAACCGCATCTGAGCGGAGGGTCCCCAGCGCCGACGCAGCCTGGCCAGGGTGGAGATAGAGATGGCAGTGCTATGGGGTGGGATGGAGGGAGAGGGATGGACGGGGGTTCACCCCGAACACTTCTGCACTTGGCCAGACCAGCAACCACAGAGAGGGCAGACAGACCAGCAGGGATGGGCCGCAGGGGTTCATGGCTGTGCGCAGCCCCTTCAGTGCCAGACACTTCTTCTTGAGGACCATGCATACTGTGAGCTTTGGCCGTGGCAGCAGCACAAGGGTGGGGATGCGGGGCATCAGGCCAGCCTCAGTCACTCTGGCTGCATTTTTTCCCTTGGTGTTTCTCTGTAGATACATGTTGCTGACTTGCTACATGCTGCTGAGAAGCTGCTTGGTTTGCTCTTGATCTAGGAACTCGAGGGCTTCCCCAAACCCAAGACAATGGCATTTCCCCTTTATACTTCCCTATAGAAGGATGGCTTCCTGACTCAGCCTTGCTGTGATGAGGTCCTCACCTTTGGCCATGGCTTCTCCTCTCCACTGGCTCGGGGTGGCCAGGAGCAACCCTGGAGCTGTGCCTGCAAGGACATGGTTGGAAGCAGTGCCTTGATGCACGCAGAGGACAAACGCTTCTGGACAGCCCTATGCATGGGAGGCAGCTTTGTTCCAAAGGTCCCCAGTAGTTCATCCCCAGCTCTGCCTGGTTGGATCCCACAGCTGCACAGCTGGAGGCACCCCTAAGTTCCTCTCTGTGCATCCTACAACCAAGCCCAGGACAGACGAAAGACCTCAGGAAGATCTCATAGATCTGCTCCATCACCGCAGGACACGGAGCCCCGTGGTCATGGAGAGGGGCATCCCTTCACCCTCCCTTCACCATCCCTTCACCCTCCCCTTTCCTGCAGCTGGGCAGGATGTGCCACCACATCCCCTGGCCATGGACACAGCGCTGTGCCCCCGCGCTCCCCGCGGACGTGCGCTCCGACGGGAGCTGGCATGGATGAAAGAGGGTAAATAGCTTTAAAAGCATTTTGGATGCACGGTGCATTTCCATTTACACAATGTGTTTTACATTTCTCCCCACAGGTTTCTCTTGGTGCAGCGCGTGTAGGCGAAGGCCCTGCTGTGAATTTTGAAAATAGTTATTTTTGTCTCTGGAAAATGAGGCCCGTTAGGACTTGTCAGCTCTTGGATGAGCAGTGTGGGCTTTTTTTTTTTTTTCCTTCCTTTTTTTTTTTTCCCCCTCTTTTTCCTTTGCAAAATAACATTCATTTAAAATCTGTCATTGAAAGATGTGACAATTGGCAGCGTGCACACTGAATACCTTTCAGTGCGCTTTCAAGCCCTGTGTGTGAGAGGGACGGGGACGGGAAGAGAATGCAATGACACGTTTGTATTTTTTTTTTTTTTTTACTCTTAGCTGGATTATTTGAGGGAATTGGGATTTTCTGTAGAAGTAAAGGAAAAAAAAAAATGCTGACAGCAAGGCATCCTGCAGGAGAGCCTCTTCTTGTAGAGGTGGGAAGGAGTTTGCAATGCTGGGGCTTGGCTGTTGGCGCAGCTGGCCCTGCTGCTCCATCCATCCACCACCACACTGCTGGCCCAAGGGCACCCAGTGCCCTCCAGGACAGGACCCATAGGGCACTCAGCTCCTCCCCATCCCTAATGTCCCATCTCCATCCCTGCCTCATCCAGCAAGGCGCTCTGTTGCTGCCTTTTGGCCAAGCCTCTTGGCAAGTGGTTGCCAAATTTAAGGCAGGAGGAGGATGCTGAGAATCACACAATCATTAAGGTTGAAAAAGAGTTCTGAGATCATCACATCTAACATGAGATCAACACATCTAACCCTGTCACCCTTATTGCCCAGTAAACCTTGTCCCTCAGTGCCACATCTACGCATCAGCATTTGGACTGAGACTCACCTGAGATTCTGGGGTGGGCAGAAGGAGTGGGGCTGGCTGTGGGGCGGTGGCAAGGCGTGTGGAACAGTTTTCATTTCCATATTTATATAAACATGTCCAAGTTTAGTCCTTCCTTTATTTCATTTTTTTAATTATTTTTTCAAAAATGGAAATTTCCATGAAAACACGTTTGATGTTTCTCCAAACGGTTTCAAGAATATCTCATTGAAAATGCTCGTCGTGTCTCATCTCCAGCTCTGATCTCTGGGGCCAGTGCTGGTTTTGCACAGTCAGTCTAGCCGGAGTTTGGGGTCTGAATTCTCTCTTAAATAAATAAATAAAGAAAAAGCGTTCTGAATTCTAGAAGGAAGAAAAAAATTGAAGGAAAAAAAAAAAAAAAGAAAGAAAAAAGCGTTAGTTCCTGAAAAGAGGAAGAGTGGGCAGAGGTGTCTCTGGGTGCTGGGGAATGCAGAGCCTGTCCCCTGTCCCACCGCTTGCTCGTGAATGGTCCCAGTTGGCTTGGATCCAGCAGTGCAGCTCTGGAACAAGGAGAGAGAAGTAGCGATGTGCCAAAATCCTGTGTTTTCACACCATTCATCCCCCCTGCGAGAGCTCATGGGCTCCAGGTGGGAAAGGGTTAACGTAGCTGATGGGCGAGACGCTGCTGAAGTGGCTTTGGAGAGCTCTTCGCCTTGCTGTGATGCTGCAGCACAGAGATCTGTTTACATAGGGATGCCAAGAGCTCAGTGTCCCACTCTTGGGAGAGTGCTGTGAGCCCCGGGCTGTGAAGTAGGGCAAAATACGGCCCTGTGGAGGGATGGGCAGGGGATGGAATGGGGTACGGCTGAGGATTGGCATAGGGAAGGGGATGGAAATGGGTTTGAGGTTGGGAGTGGGGATGAAGATGGTGGTGACGGGATGGAGATGGTGTTGGAAATGGGATGGGGTAGGATGGAGTAGAACAGAGACATGAGTGGAAGGAGATGGGAATGGAGATGGGATTGGAGATGGGATGGGAATGGAGGTGGGGAAGAGATGAGGATGGATGGAGATTGGAACTGGAATGAGGATGGGAAAGGGGATGTGATGGGATAGAGATTTGGCATTAGAGATGGGATGGGATAGGCATGAGGGTCGAGGTGGGAAGGAGACAGCTATGGAGATGCTGATGAAGATGTGGTGCTGATGAAGATGAAGATGCAAGCAGCAGGAAAGAGAATGGACGTCTCCCAGCAAACTGCCACCTGGGAGGACAGCAGGGCACTCTGGGCACCTCTTTCTAGAGAGAAGCACAGACAAGGCGCTGACTCTCACTGCAGAACCTGGGATGAGGGAAAAGGTGGCCCTGGGCCCTCCCATCACACCAAAAGCAGTTTCTGTGTTGCTGCTGGCACAAGTGCTGGGGCCCACAGACCGTTTGCCATTTGCAAACACAACCTTAAATGTAAAAATGCTCGCCTTACCCAGGTATTTATAATCCTCACCTAAAAATAACCACAAATTCAGCTTCCTGGAGGACAGCAACTGAGCATCCTCCAGACCCCAGCTTGCGTGTGAAACTGTCCCAGTAATTTTGGGATCTCTGCAGGATGTGACTGGGAGCCGTGCTTAGCATGTCTGTGAGACATGGCTGCAGGCTCTGTCAGCCCCTACAAGCCCTGTGCTGGGGGGTGGCCACTCTGCAGCCCCTCTGGCACACACCAGGTCCTCCTGAGTCCCTTGGACAGCTGCCTATCCATGCATTCAGGGCTCGGTGTGCAATCCTCAGTCAGAGCATCCTTCCTTGGGCCGGAACTGGAGAGCCCATGCCAGGCTGCAGGAAGGAAATATCTGCATATGGAGCTGAGGGACGTGCGTGGAGGTATTTCGGGAAAGGCAGGCGGGTAACGGAGAGGAGGGGGTGAAGGTCTCCATCAGGTGGCCAGACACAAGCACTGCTGGCGGCTGCATCCCAGAGCTGTGAAGGAGCAGATTTCTGGGTGGGAAAGGAGATTTCAGATAAGGGGATGCAGCACCTGTCAGTCAGCTTGGAGACGAAAACCCCCTCTTAGGAAGCAGCACCAACACCAGCACGGAGGCATCGGGGCAAGTTCTGTCCCCTCCCCAATATCACTGGGGACCCCATGCCTGTGCCCCAATGGTGGGAATTGGGCCCCTGCCCTTACGGCTCGGTGTGGGGATGAGAGCAGGTAATGGTGCAGTTAATGGAAAAGCCATTAGGCCTTTCTCCTCCTCCCCCTCCTCTTCCTCACTCCGCCACTTGCTGTCCTCCTCCACTTCCACCTCCTTTCTTCTCTCCCTCTCTCCGCTCCTCCTTCTCTCTCTCTCTCCCCTCGAAGATTTCTCCCTATTTTTGTCTGGTTAGAGCCTTTTCTTTTCCTATTAACCCTTCCGTGGCAGCCCGGAAGGAAACTAAACCAATCTCATCTGCCCAAAGCAATGCCTTCCACTGAGAGACCCTGCTGCTGGGGCTCTGAGTGCTGCTTTTCCTCCTGCAAAAACAACCAGAAATGGGACAAAAGAGGGTCAGGAATCCACAGGGTGCAAGGGATGATGCCTGCTGGAGGTGGGGTGTTGGCAGCAAAGTGGGTTTAAGGGAAAACCTTTCCGTCGAGGCCTCTGAGTACCACCTTCAGTGCTCTTTTCCAGTTTCTTTTTATTTTCTTTTTAAATTTATTTTTTAATTAACTGAAAAACCTGTTTTTTTTTTCAGCACTTTTTGCTTTTTTCCCTCTTTGCTCCCCTTCTGGCTTTGTTTTAGGCCAAGCCACTCCCGGGTGCCAGTGACTGGGGCCAGCCCCAATGAGAGCCCAGCTGCTGGCAGGGCGCTTACAGGGACCTGGGGAGCTGCCATCATTTTGCTGCCTTTGCCTGACACACTTCTGCTCCATCTGCTGCCACCCGCCCCGCTCTGCAGCAGCCCGTCCCCCACCCTGCAGCCCCCCAGGGACTCTGGTGCAGGGTACCAGCAGGACCTGCATTTGGGGGTGGGGGGAGGTAGAAATGGACCAGTTGCCAGGGCGACAGCATCCTCCTGCAACATAGAAACCACGGTTTCCATGGAAACCTTTTTGCCCCAGTTATTCTGCCACTGCCACTTCCTTCAATTTGCCTTTAAGATTTGCATTTTGGAGTTGCCCCCCTCCCTATAGTGGCTGTGAGACCCCCCAGGCAGCCCCCAGGGCCGGGTCCCCAGCAGGGCCGCGGTCCCCAGGGCGGGCGATGGGTTTGGGAAGCGGTTGCCCCGGCAACAGAAACAGGGCGTTTCTGGCAGCGGTGGTCACCATGGGGATGGGGATGCTGACGAAGGCTTGTGAGGCTGAGAAGACAAATTGCCCTCATCATTATCTCCAGGCTTGTCAATCAAACATATTCCCTTATTTACCTCGGCGAGGAGAGAGCCCCGGGAGCACACGGAGAGGGAGGGAGCGAGAGGAGAGCTGCCTGCTCCGAACTCCGCACCGGGGAGGGAGCATTGCCAGCCCCTTGGGATGGCCACCATCACCTGCAACCGCTTCACCGAGGAGTACCAGCTCTTTGAGGAACTGGGCAAGTAAGTTGGAGAGGGGCTTGGATGCGCCCCCAACACTCGGAGCAGGAGCGGGGCTGGGGAAGTGCCTGAGCAGAGCTGGAAACAGTGGATATGGGGAAAAGCAATGGGCACGGAGCGTCGGGGAGCAGTGGGGGGACTGGGATCGGGATGGGGTCTGCCAGTCCCTGTTCCATCTCCTCCTGACTTCAAATGCATGCCAATAGGTGCAGACCCAGTGCACCGCATTTTGGGATTGGGGAGGGGTTGGCTGCCCCTCTTATGGAAAGAAAAACCCAGCACTCCTGGAAGAGGATGCTGCCGGCTCCCCCAGTAACTTCCCCCGCTGGGAGGAGGGACGGGACAGCCGAGGGGGAAAGCCCCAGTGGTGGGCGCCCTCCGGTTCCTTTAGGGAATTTCTCTGTGCAGATTCCCCAGCGTTTGACTCATCCCGTGGGATACTCAACCTGCAAGGTAGCCCTTGTGGAAATCCCACTCGGAGCTGGGGATCTACCCACCCTGTCCCCCATCCCATCTGCATGTGTGAGTGCCCCATAAGGAGCCTCAGCCCCTGCTTTGCTGCAGGGAGGGCTCTGTGGGTCCGCGTGGCACTGCCTGCTGCTAATCAGGGTGCGTGCGTGGTGCAGAGGATAGCAGTTGGAGCAGTTCTGGGGGGGCACTGAGCACCCCAAGGTGGAGCAGTGTGCTTGTCCCAGCAACACACATGTCCTCAGTGCTGGGCAGCGGATGCTCCATGTCTCAGTGGGGAGAGAGTGGCTGTAAATTGAGTGTACAAGGAAGCAGGCGTATGCCTCTCTTTGGTTTGGTTTTGGTGCCCGTTTTTGGTGCTGCCCCAGAGCCGGGTGCCCCTGCTGCTGGTGAGGTGCCCTTTGTCAGATAGGTGTGTGGCTGTGGCAGTCTGCAGGCATGAAAACTTGTTCCAGACCCACATCCCTGCATCGCCGGGCAGCCTTTGCTGAAATGTGCACCCATGCGTGCGAGGGCGTGCAGAACGGGGGCGAGAGAAAAAGGAGAGGACAAAGATGGAGAACTCAAGAGGCTGACACAGGGGAGGACGTTGTGCCAGGCGGGATGCAGCTGATGCTCCCCATTCGGATGGTCGCTGCTGCAAACAAGTGCAGAGCAGAGCGCTGGTCCTGGGGTGTGCTGATGGACGCATACATCTACTTGCAGTTGGGGCAGGTGCTGGGGGTTGGTGGGCAGCTGTGATTGAGGAGCGGTGATTGGGGAGCAGCTCTGTGCTGTGCAGAGAGTCCCAGCTGATGCTGCAAGCAGAGTGCCCGGGACCTGGGGCATGGTATGGCTTGGGACCTGGTTTTCCAGAGGCTTCCCAGCTTTTCTAGGTTCTGTGGGAGAGCAGCGGTGCCCGCAAGGGATGCTGCTGGACCCGGTGCAGTACATGGAGCACGGTGGGGAGCTTTTGGGCTGTGTGTGATGGGGGAGGCCTGGGATGGCAGCGAGGCTTTGCCAGATGGGGTGAGCACCCAGACCTGATGAGACAGACTGGCAGATGTGTTTCTCCACTTTCACTAATTAATGAGCAAACCTTGCAGCAGTAGCTTGCACCCCAGCCAGCCTGGAGCACTCAGCATCCCCTGACACAGAAGCAGAGCAGCTCAGCCCAGAGCTCTCGCAGCCCCGTGCATCCCACGACACCTCCCCTTGGTTCAGCAGAGGCAGGTATAGGGCTGAGAAACGTTCCCAAGTCAGAGCCCTTGCTGACCTGTCAGTGTGATGTGGTGCAGGTTGGGAATTTTCCACCGGGATGATTTCCAGTGCATCCCACACTTTCAACAATCAGTGGTTTCCCAGGGGGAAATTTCCGCTCTGTGAGCTCAGGAAGGGAAATCAGGACGGAGTGCTGCATGGCTCGCTGCGGCAGCGGCTGCCCATAAACCCAGCAAGGGTGATGGCATTCCCAGTGCACAGCCCCAAGGAGCTGGTGCCATGTGCTGGGGCATCAGCACATCCCCTCCACCTTCCCCAAGCTGCCTGTGTTTCTTTTCTACCCAAAGAAGACCAGTGAAGGGTGCGGGGTGCCAGGCAGCTGTTCCCAACCCCTTTGCCATTCCTTCAGCTTCCAACCATCGTGAAATGCATCCCGTGGGGCTGTCCCAAACACAGGACACAGATCTGGTCCCACATTCCTGTAGGGGATACCTGCATCTGCAGCATCCCTGCAGGATACCAAGCTGGCAAGGGGCTGCAACACTCCCCCTTACCCCCTCTACAACCTGCAGGAGCCAAGGGATGGGGCGAGAAGCAGGGGCAGCACGGGGGCAGCAGGGAGAGGATCCTGCCCACGGCCATCCAGGTAGGACAAACAGCAAGAAGCAGCTCCTTGGGTGCCTCCGAATCCGCCCCCACAGCAGGTTCAGGGAGAGGCTGGCGGCAATTAGTGTGCGCTCAGCCCCTCCGCTACCAGAGCTGCAGGAGAGGGTTTTCATTAAAAAAAAAAAAAAAAAAGATATGGAGGAACAAAAAATCCCCAGCCCACACTCTTCTCTCTAGAAAGGAGATAAAATGCCTCGGAGGAGGAGGAGGTGTTGAAGAGAGGGAGGGCGGCAGCAGCGCAGCCTGGAGCTGGCAGGGAAGGTGTGAAGAAGGGGGAACGGAGCATCCCCATGTCAGAGGAGCTGGGGGGGGCTGGCAGGACCTTAGGGACAGGGCATGGGGATCACACCTGGGCTAGGGGACACTGGCACTGGCTATGGGGCTGCAAACCAGTGGCAGGAGCTGGCAGGGATGAGGTCCAATCTGGGCTGTGCAACCTGTGCCTATGCACTGCATCTGTACCTAACCCCATAGCTTAGTTGGGCTCAAATGAATGAATGGCTGAATAGCTGTCAGTGCTTGGACATCAGTGGCTGAGAATATCCAGGAGCAGTGCAGGAGAACCAGGGACCGTTGTTTCCCTCTTGCTAACCTGAGGTGGGGACATGGCCCAGGCTTGTGTTTCTAGCCTCTGGTACAGCCTTGGGGCATCCACGTCCCTCCAGCCCTATGTAGGATCATGCAGCGGAGCCCCACATTGGGTTTGGAGCTGGGCCGAGCACCTGGGACTTCTCTGCTGTGAGTATTCTGCATTGCCACAAAGCAAAGGTGGATCTTTAGGAAAAAGGAGCCAAGATGGGTCACGGGGGAGGAAGGAGCCTCCAAACCCAGTGTTGATGGGGCTCCTGGTGGGACAGGATGAGCAGAACTAGGAGCAGCATGGCACCGGATTCCCCATCACGTCAAGCTGAATAAGAAGGATTTCTCAATTCCTTTCCAATTAAAGCCCTCAAGGCTATGGGAATAGGAACAGCTCAGCTATTCCAGAGGCCAGGATCAAACTGCAGAATGAGGAAGCATCAAGCTCCTTCCTCTCCTTCTCTCCAGCTCCTCTCTGACACGTGCCTCAGGTGATGCTGCACAGGCTGGCAGCTTTGCTGGGGCTCCTGCACCCCGCTGCTTGCCTGTTCTGCTAAAGATCTCACTCAGCCCCAAATTGCCCATCTCCACCCACCTCCACCACTACAATCAATTATCCACTGCTGCTTGGCAGCGTGCTTGCGAACTGCAGCCTTTTATTCCTCGCCATGGAGCAGGAGCGGGGGAAGATGGAGCAGGAGGTGGCATTGCTTTTGATAGTTGTTATTTCAGCGATCGGAAGGGTTTGGCAGCAAAGGGAGCCTGGTACAAAGGTTGTGCTCAGCAGGGCAGTGCGCTGCTGCTGCGGTGGGTTTGCAGCCACAGGGATCTTGCACCGGTTGCCTGCAGCCATGGTGAGCGCTCATAGCTGGTTCTGAAAATTGCTGCAGTGATTGTGAGAGCTCTGAAGCTGGCAAAGATGCTCGTACACATGGAGTGAAGTGGTTGAGTGCAGTGCAACAGCCGTGTCCATTCCCAGTGTCCCCGAGGAGCTCCTGGTAAATCTCTGCCCTTTCTCCGCCAGTAGTGGGTAAAGCAGAACTGAAAGGGATGAGAGAGCACTGAGGGGTGAATCCTGCAGCCATCCCCAGGGCTCTCTCTGCCTTCCCATGTCCCCAGGGACTGCAGTGTCAGGAAGCACCCACTTTGCTCCCCCACTCTCAAAAACCCTTTCTCTTTCAATAGCCATGCCATGCCATGCAATGCCATTCCATCCCATCCCATCCCATCCCATCCCATCCCATCCCATCCCATCCCATCCCATCCCATCCCATTCCATCCCATCCCATTCCATCCCATCCCATCCCATCCCTCACCACTGCCCCCCAGAACATTAGGACTGTCCTGTGTCCTTGCCTGTACTGAGCCTTTCTCCTCCCTCTGCTCCTTGTCTTCCCAGGGGTGCTTTCTCTATTGTCCGGAGATGTGTGAAGGTGTTGGCAGGACAAGAGTATGCAGCCAAAATCATCAACACCAAGAAGCTGTCTGCCCGAGGTAGGTGCTGGGGGTGCTCAGGGGGTTGGCAGGGTTTGGTGGCAGGGAAGACCTTTGCCCCACTCTATCCTCACTGTGGTGCATCCTGAGCTCCTCGATGAATGGCCATTAAATGCATGGACATTGCCAGTGGGCGCCCTGCTGGGAGGCTGTAATTAACTCACTGCTCCTGCTGCTCTCCTTGACGCCACTGCTCACATCTGAAAGCAAAAATGAAGCACAGAAAATGGTGACAAGCTGCTGTCTGACCTCAAATCAAACCACTGCGTGCCAATGCAGTACAGCACTGACGCCTAACTGAGGAGCTCGGCTCCAAACCCCCATTTGGAGGTGGAAATCCCCCACAGCTTGCTGCTCTCCATCCTCTCCTCAGGTTTGCAATGTCTCTGTGTCCATCTGTCAGCTGGAGAGAGCCTCGGGGTTATTTTAGCTGCTCTGCTGGCTGGAACCAGTGGCTTCTGGTGGTAATAGACCCACTCTCTCCCCCATTGTGCAGTGCTGCAGCATGGGATTGGCCATTGCCTGGGCTGCAAGCTGTCCCCAGAGGGATGCATTGGGCTGGTGGCCCGTGGGAATGTGTCCCACAGGGATGTGTGCCATTGAGATATGCCAGCAGCTATGCCACACGTGAAGGTATGGTGGGATGGTGTGCAGGGAGGAGTGATGCTGCAGGACACCCTGGGGTGCCTTTGGACATGCTTGGCTACCAAAGAGAGAAACTCTCTCTCATGCTTAGAGAGAAACTGCAGATGAGGAAGAAATGATTTTTGAGTGCAGATTGCAGTTGGATTTGTGGGGGAGACGATCCTGTGGCCAGGTGGAGCTGGGTCCCCACTGCTGTCCCCATCTCCTTTCTGTGACCACTGGCTTCTTCTAAGCAAGCAAGTTTGCCTTCCCAAAAGCAGCAATGCTGCACTTCCCCTTGGCTGGTTAATCTCAATCTCTGCAGATGAGGAAACCCAATGGGAAACTATCTGCAGATTGGGAAACTGAGGCAGAGAGTGGGGAAGGGTGATTTACCCAATGTCACCTTGGGGCTGGGGCAGAAAGCAGCTCTCCTGTCTCCTGTCTCAATGTCAGTGGTTGCAGATTTGATTTGATGCAGAGCGAGACAGTGAGGTGTGAGCTTGCAAGGTAGCTGCAATGGTGCCGGGAGACACAGCCCTAATTATATCCTCACCTCTCCCGTTGTTGGGTTCCTGCTATCGCCAAATGCCTTCAGACAGGGGTGCGGTGAGGCAGCACCTGCAGAGTGCTGGAAGGCACAGCAAGCAGTTCTGCCATGGAACCGGAGCCTAATATGGGGCCATTACCTCTTTCAGACCACCAGAAGCTGGAGCGAGAGGCTCGGATCTGCCGCCTCCTGAAGCACCCCAACATCGGTAAGCACACCCTGCGCCACTGCCTGCCCCGTCCCCACCACCCCTCATGTGGGGCTGTGGGGTGGGCACTGGGGCTCCCTCGTCTTCTTCATCAGGAAGAAGTTTCTCCAAAAGGGGTCACGTACAGAACGGCCCCCACCAAGCGCAGGGGGGATCTAAGTAGGTCCCAACTAACCCAGTTGGCTGCACATCCCTGCGGGAGGAGCAGGGCTGCATGGGGACTATTTTTACTCCTCGGATGCTGTGTTCCTCTGCATGCTCCAAAAAGCGGCTCCAGCTCTGAGCAGCAGCAGAGAGCGGCGTGGGAGAGGCGATGGCGAGGGGGAAGCGAAGACTTTCCCACCGGCCGTCCATCTGAGAGTAGCCTCCTTCAGAAAAGCTGTTTCAGGAAAACTCCTGAGCCCCTGCAAAAGACAAAAATAGGCAAGGAGGAGAGAGAGGAGAAGGGAAAAAATTGCAGCAAAAATCCCAAAGCTTACCCTCGACGGTGATGCTGATGCAGGCTGCCTGTGCCCAGTGCTGTTATGGAGTCCAACACGGGGACAAAACAGCTGTCTGCTTCGAGCAGCATGGGGTGTGCAGATCCCATCAGAGCCAGCACAGCTGGGGGCATGAGGAAGCTGGAATGCTGTGATCACTGAGGGGCTGTGAGTCTCTCTCTAATCGCCTGCAGTGCCTCCCCAGCCCTCCTCTCCCATAGGAACACCGGGCTGTGCAGACAAGGGTTTGCACAGACGTGAGCCTGCAGGTACCAGCTCCTGCTTTGCACCATGCATGCATTAGGGGCTGCACTGGGAAGCTGCACCCGCAGCCCTGTGTCACAGCACTGTGCCAGGAACAGTGAAGGTTTACCTGGTGGCGTTACCCAGGAGGCATTCTAGAGTGGGACATTTTGGCTACATCCAGTGCTGCAGCTTTAGCTGTGAGTACACATTGCCCTGTGACTGTGGGGAGCAGTGCTACGTCCAAAGCTCTTAGCACTGAGCAGTTTGACGCTGCCGCTGTGCTCAGCCTATGGCCAGCAGCAGATGCTCACAGGACTGAGCTATACTTAGAGCAGCTGCTCCTCATTATACCCTTGGCTCCTGGCAGCCACGGGCAATGGGACTTCCCCAAGCAGGGGATGTATCCGGACCATCTGCTTAGAGTTACACCACCCCATCCGCACCAAATTTGCTTAATCCTCTTTTGAACATGGTAGGATTTGGCAAGATCCCAGCACAATACCCCCCAAATCCCTCTCAGATGAGATGAAACAGAAGGAAATGTGGTGCTTTCAACAGAGGAAGGCAGAAAAGCTGAGATTATGTGTCAGAGAGAAGTGCTGAGCAAACACAGGTGATGGAGCATAGGGGAGTGGAGACCATCAATAGGGAGGAATGAGCAGGGAATGGGGTGAGCATCCTAATCGTTAACACCCACAGCCTAAAAGGAATGTTTCCACACAGGGCACAGCTGGTGTAGTGCAGAGAAATGGGCTCAAAGTGATGTCAGGTGAGCAGTGAGGAGGGGTTAAATACACACAGCCCCAGTGAAATCAGAGTGAAGTGAGATGTGGGCAGGCAATGCCAGACTGTGTTTTGCATACCAGATTCTGTCCCACCTTTTTCTGCACCTTTGCTATGCGTCTGACTGCTGAGATGTGAGAGCTTAGCTGAAGGGCAACGTGCTCTCACAGGGGCATCCCTTGGAGCAGGGCGAAGAGCCAGGCAGGGGGATGGGACAGAGTGCTCCTGCTCAGGGAATCTCATCCCGTGATGATTCCTGGGCATCCCCAGCAGGAGTGCTCCCAAGGAGAGAAGAAAGGTCATGAAGAGGAGGAAAAAAATAACTACAGAGACAGGTCAGAGTCAGGGCTGGGTTGGCAGCCTGGCACTATCCTGACCTGAGCTGGGATCTCAGCCAATTGCTGGCTGTCCCCAGTTTAGATGTGACTTCTGAACTATGGCTCGTGGAGGCCCTTGGCTGAGTGGGGCTGCTGCCAGTCAGTGGCAATGGGAAGAGGGGCAGGGGGGAGGATGAGCTCCCAGCAGATATCCCTGCTATGCCAAAGGGCATCCAGGCTCCCCAGGCAGCCCATAACCCTCTATCTCTGCTGCAGTGAGGCTCCATGACAGCATCTCTGAAGAGGGCCACCACTACCTGATATTTGACCTGTGAGTGCTATTTAAACTCGTCTTCTAATCTGCTGCATGCTCTCATTGAGGTGATGTGCCCCATAGCCTCCCCCATCTCATCCCTGCACTTCTGTGGGCTGCCTTGAAGTCCTTCTCTGCATAGAGAGGGAAGAGCCAAGCTTTGAGTCCTTAAAGTTGGCAGCTGGACTTGTTCTTTGTCAGTTCCTCCCATCCCATATCTCATCCCATCCTATTCTATGCCAGGCAGATGGCAGTCTGTCCCTGCCCCACTCCCTCGTGCATGGCAGCAGTACTTGGATGGGTTACTAGGGCTGAGCATGCTGTGAGCACACCCAGACCTGCTGCAACGCCCAGTGTGAATCCCTTGTTCTGTCCCAGGGTCACTGGTGGGGAGCTGTTTGAGGACATCGTGGCCAGAGAGTACTACAGCGAAGCGGATGCCAGGTGAGCAAGGATCTGGGCAGGAAAGGACAAGAGGTGTCCCATGTCCCCACAGCTTCCCAGGGCTCTATGCACTCTGCTTTCTGCAATTCGAACTCTTGCTCTGATGTTCACCACTTGGAAGCCCTAAGGAGGGTTTGTTGGGGCAGGATGGCTGAGGGTGCGGTTTCCAAGTACCTCTGTGCCTCTTGGCTTTGCCCCATAGATGGGGCATAGTCCATACAAATGCTTAAGGGGTTGTCGAGCTCTGTGCTACCTCTGCCTCTGTGAAAATATCCCCTATTTCTAGGCAAAAAGCAATCATAATTAACAGATTGCTTGCACTGAATCCACTTCCAACGCATCCTCTTATTAGTGTCATACGAATAACATAAATGTAAATAAAGACTTGCCTTACAGACAGCTGTTTTGGAACAAAAGTGATCATAGCCTCATTCTTTTTCCCTGCCTTTCTCATGCATGCAGTGAGGCTGGAGTTTAATGAACTTGACATAAAGCAAACTGACACAGCGAGAGCCACCCATGTTAGACAGGGCTGGGAAAATGGGACTGAAGCATCAGCTGCATGGCCGATGGGCACAGCTGCTCTGTTCCTCTTTAGAGACCAAACTGGGCTGGTACCATGTCTGCACCATCAGTCCCCAGCTCCAGGTGCCAGTTCTGTGGGAGCCCATGGGTGCACGCATAGCCCCAGCTCCCTGTTCACTTGTTGGTGGCCAACAAGTGATGTGGTGGAGAGGGACACTGTTCTGCAGGGCTGCAGGTGGGACGTGGCGATGGGAGAAGGGCAGGGGGTGAGATGCAGCCACGTGGACGTGACTAAGGCACTTGTGTGAGATTTCTCCTCTTTGCAGCCATTGCATCCAGCAGATCCTGGAAGCTGTCCTGCACTGCCACCAGATGGGAGTGGTCCACCGGGACCTGAAGGTATGGGCTGCAGGGATGGGTCTGTGGAAGGGTGTGGGGACCCATCAGTGGTGCAAGACCCTATGGGGCAATGCCTGGCACCCTCCAGGGTGGGGAGGAATGCCATATGGGAGCTCCTGGAAAGATTCAGCAGCTCTCAGGCAAAACAACACAAGGGAGAGTGGGTAGAGAGGTACTTATAGACCATGGTCCTCTATGGTGTGCTGGGATACGTAGCCCCACAGAGCAGTGGGACCACATCCATCCTTCCCCCAGATGTGTTTGGAAGTCATAGCAGAGCCCATAGGTTCTCTCTGAGACACTCTCCTCCTCCTGCAGCCTGAGAACCTGCTGTTGGCCTCCAAACTGAAGGGGGCTGCTGTCAAACTGGCTGACTTCGGTCTCGCCATTGAGGTGGAGGGAGACCAGCAAGCCTGGTTTGGTGAGTATGGCTGTGGATTATCCACTGGGCCCTGCTCAGGTTGGGTCAGTGGTATCAGGCCTGGAGGGCTGAGCACCCCCAAGCCACGTATGGGGATGCTTGCAGCGTGCAAGGTGTATGATGGGTTGGTTCTCTGTCGCAGGTTTTGCTGGCACCCCAGGATACCTCTCCCCTGAGGTGCTCCGCAAGGATCCCTATGGCAAAGCTGTGGACCTGTGGGCTTGTGGTAAGGGAAGTTAATCTCGAGAACGTCCTCAGTTTCTCTCCCTGATTTGGGCCGGTCCCTAGCATGGGTCTGCTCACACCTGCAGTGCAGTGCCTCTCACTCACCTGCTGGCCCCATGTCCCCTCCTGCACAGGCGTCATCCTCTACATCCTGCTGGTTGGGTACCCACCATTCTGGGATGAAGACCAGCACCGCCTCTACCAGCAGATCAAGGCTGGGGCTTATGATGTGAGTGCATTTCTCTTTCTGCCCCCTCCACTACCACCCTTTCCTCCCGCTGCCCCTCACTGCAGTCTGCTGCTCCAGAAGAGTGACTGGGATGAGTCAGACGGGAATGAGTTCCCTTCCCTTGCTCTGGTTGTAGAGGGCTGACTGAGATGCCGTGCCTAAGTGCACACACTGGCACCTTTCAGTCCACTTTGCAGAACAGATGGGTGTCGTCCTGGGTCTTGTTCTCCCTCCAGCCCTGCTCCCCAACTGGCAGCAATTCCCATTTGCTTCCATGAGTTCCTCTGCCTGCTCCCACCTGGGGCTGGAGGAGAACCAGCCCCATCTCCGAGGACTGCTGCTCCTTGCCTTGCTCCCTGCCATCCCTCACCCATCCCTCTGTTGGCAGTTCCCCTCCCCTGAGTGGGACACTGTCACTCCCGAAGCGAAAGATCTTATCAACAAGATGCTGACCATCAACCCATCCAAACGCATCACGGCAGCGGAGGCTCTGAAGCACCCCTGGATATCGGTGAGTCGGGTGGCACTCACCCACAGGGACCCAAGCTCTGTGGGCATAGGGGTTTGCATTGGGATCCTGCACTCGTGTGCCCTGAGCCACGTCTCTCTCTTCCCAGCACCGCGCCACCGTGGCCTCATGCATGCATAGACAGGAGACGGTGGATTGCCTGAAGAAGTTCAACGCTCGGAGGAAGCTAAAGGTAATTTGCACACTGTCCTACCCAGGCTGCTGCAGAATGCTTGGTGGGGTCTGTGGGGGCTGGGTGCTGAGTGGGGAGAGTCAGGGTTTGTGTGGGTTTGCACTAGGCTGCACGCAGTGTGACACAGAGCAGGGCAGCTGCAGGCTACTAACATGATTATCAAGAAAAGAAACTGGCTATGAACTGTTATTACTTTTCAGCCAGACAAGTAATCAAATTAGTTCAGGCATGCACTTCAAAATGGTAATCCATTACTGCAGGCAATTAGTCCTAAGTAATCTCATTATACGCTGAGCAACTAGTTAGTAGAGTCAGATGGAGAAGGGGCAGCATTTTTCTGGGTGTTATTTTGCAGTGTTGCTGTATGGGTGGCTTCCATGAAAAATCCCCATCCCTTTCATTACAATCACATCCATTTCCGCTCCCGGCGGCTCCCCTTGCCACCAGCTGCCCACCCTGGCCAGCAAAGAATGGGATTGAAATGCGCCCTGGGTTATTGAATATCCCTTTAATCTTTGAGGGAAGATTCAGAGCCTGCAACCCAATGCCCTGGCGTTAGGGATAAGAAGTCGGGTCAGCCTGTGGGCCAGCTTCCTTCCAGCAAAGGGTGTGGGGGACAGGTGACACACAGAGCTGGGAGCATGGGGACCCGGTGGCTCTGCGCACTCCCCTCCTTTCTGCCTTCTGTGTGTTGCAGGGAGCCATCCTCACCACCATGCTGGCCACCAGGAACTTCTCCGGTAGGTGCCGTCTCTGGGTTTCTCCCCTGAGGGCAGAGCTGGGGGGAGGGGGGCAGCTACAGTGGGGCTGAAACTGCAGCTGTGTGCTCTGGGGAGATGGTGATTTGGCACCCTCTCTCCTGGAGATGTTTGTGATGTGGATCCTCCAGGTGCCCCAGCAGCACAGGGTCCCCCCACTTCACCCACCTTGGGATGCTGACCCTGCAGCGATGCTGCTCCTCTCCCACATCCCTGCATCCCCAGGGCTGCACTGAGAGGCAGGGATGGAGCATGGCTTGTTTTCTGATGGGAATTTTGGAGTGCTTTGCTGAGACACTCCAGGAGCCGGGTTTTGGTGTGGACAGAGAGAATCAGGGGCAGCTGGCCCAGCCAGGAGCAAATGGCCACAGTCAGGATTGGCATCTGCATTTGTCGCAGGGGGTGGGGAGATCATGCTGACATATTTAGTACTTGTGGGCAGCGTGTGTGGGGCTGGAGGAGTCCAGCAGCTGGCACGGATCCGGTTACGGAAGGCGCAAAGCATCAAAGGGCAGGAAACCCAAAAGCTTCTCTCCTAACACTTCCCATCCACGCAACCCAGGGGCTGCCCGTGCCCCCTGCCCACCCCAGCAGGCAACAGGATCAGCATGGGACTGCTCCTACGGGCGCTCCAGGATGTGGGGTCCCTGGTTCAGCAGGGGGGTTCGGCGCTTGGCCAGCAGCTGGAGGTGGGCACTGGAAAGGCATCTGCTTTTCATCATTGTCAAAATGTGGGCTGCAGCTGTCAGGCCGGCGGGCCGGCAGCACATGATCCCAGCAGCATGGGGCTAAAATTAGAGGGGCGGCAGGCGGGCGGCCCATTCCAGCGCCGCGCCGACAGCGCCCGCAGCCAGCGGGCTCCCTATGGGGCACCCCACTGCCTCGCCGTGACGTTTGGGGACGCTGATGTCCCTCATGGAGAGCTGCTCTGGTGGGACGGGCCGGTGCTGGAGAGGTCATCCCTGAGCTCGCAGGGTTGCGCCGGAGGGGCTGCGAGAGGACGAGAGCCGCTACTCGGCTCTGCTGCCCGGCATCATGCTGCTGATCTTCGGCCTCCTGGTGCTGGTGCCCTGCCTGGCTCTGCTCACCTCTTTCCTGCTCTCTCCAGGAGGCAAGAGCGGTGGCAACAAGAAGAATGACGGCGTGAAGGTAAGTCCCCTCCTGCCTGCCTCTCCGCTCCCTGGCGCTGGCAGTGGGGTCCTGGTGCTATGCCAGTGCTCCCTGAGGCACCCTGTGCTTTGAAGGATAGTTGTTGGCACTGCTTTCCTGGTGTGTTCCTGAGCCACTGGAGCAGCTTTTCAGCATGGTGAGGGAAGGGGTTGGTGCTGCAGCCAGGAACAACAGAGCACAGTGGAGTCTCACTGCTGCTTTGTTGCCCCCAAAATACTCTTGTTCTGGGGCTTCAGGCTGGTGGTGGGCTTATCACCCCACCTCAGCGCAGTCCTGCTGCTCCAGGGTCCCCCAGCACCATCTTATCCCCACAGTGGTCCATGGAGATGTTTAACCCTCTCGACCCCGTTCTCATCTCCTGTACTTGCTGTAGATGGAAAAAATGAGCACTCCAACTTGGCAATGTGCTGGGAACAAGCTGGTGCTGGAAGGGCTGCAGGAAGAACGGCCCATGCAAAAGTCTTTTTCTTGTCCTATTGGATACAAACTATTGCTCAACAGTGGAGAAGTCGCACGATCACAATCCTCTGCTCCAGGTCAGGGATGCAAGTTGTGAGGCAGAGCTCTGGGACCCTGATTGCAGCACAGATTCTTTTCTTCTTCTGGTCCTTTTGCAGGGACTCTGCTGTTGTGAGGGTTGCAGGATTTGGAAGAGCAATGCACTCAGCTGTTTTCTTCCTTCCTTTGCCCAAAAGTTTGGTGCAGCCAAAGGGCTGGGGATGGCTTTTTGTTCCCCTCCCACTAGTTGCGGCATGCCAAGCCTGCAAGGTTTGAGACCACACAAAATCTGCACGCAGCTCCACAAAATCAAATATTCTGGCCACGCAGCATTGTTCTGCAACATGAAGCTGATGGGTTACATTGCTATGAGAGGAAATTGCCTTGGGCAGTGGGATGTCACATGGCTCCCAGGGCAGGACTGCTGGCTTTGCACAGCCCCACGGGAGTCCCAGCAAGCTGCCTGCCAGCCCTCATCTGCTGCTTCTGCAGCCACCTGAGCAGTGGTCCCAGGTAGAGGTGCCACAGTGTGAGTTGCTGGAGCATAGCTGATTCAACCAGGAGGAGCTTTTTAAAGCACTGGTGGCTGCAGACACTTCGTCAGGCACAGCCCTGAATTATGTTTTCCAGCAAAAAGGAATTGCCTTGATTTCAGCTCTAGGTGTCATGATAGAAGACCACTTGCTGACCCAGTATCCTAACAGAGATCTCTCTTGGCTTTCCAAGTAGACTGTGTGTGAATGTTAGCCTGGGAAACTGGCTGCCGAGGCCAAAGTTTGGTGGCCCAGCACAGGTACCTGGCATATGGCAGTGCACTGCTGGCAGCTTGTCACTTCCTTCCATCTCGCTGGGAAAGCAAGGCAGGGATGTGGAATCCTGCATGGATGGGTGGGCAGGTCGGGAGGGGGCTGAGGGCCCAGTCATATGGGGGGGTTTGTCGTCGGAAGAGTTGTCTGCACCTGGAGATATCACCTGGGCCAGCCTTCATGAGAGCAGGCACCAGGAGGGTGCTAGCCCAGGCTTGGAGAGCTCAAAGCACTCTCCCAAGGAGGTTTCCCCCTACAAAAAGCGCTCACAGGATCAAAAACTCCTCTCCACCCCTGCTCTGGGGTCTCCAGGAGGTGTTCTGGTCCCAGCAGCCACGATACCTTCACTGCCCTGTGTAGTGTCCCATCTTGTCACATCGTGAACTAATGAAATCACTGCCCCATGTCACATCCTGTCCCGTCCAAAATTAATGAGCTCACTGCCCCGTGTTGCATCCTGTTACTGTATGTCCCGACTCGACGCAGTCACTGCTTTGTGTTGCATTCTGTTGCGTCTGAAATTTCTGCAGTTTACTGCCCCGTGTCCTGTCCTTGATTTGCAGAGGCTGGGAGCTGTCTCTGGCTGTACGTCCCCCTGAGGTTCCTCCTGAAGCACAGCAGCGTGCCCTGCCCCAGGGACACCTGTCGTCCCAGGGAAGAAGGGGTTAGGAATGACAGAGGACTCAGTGAAGGAGAGGACAGTGCATTGGCGTGGGGGAAACTCAGTATTGATGCTGGTGGAAGCCATTTAGGAAGTGAAAAGAGCAGTGAGGATGGATGGATGTTAGTTTTCCTACTGCAGCCTATTTATTCACCCTAATGTGTTGCTGCATGGGCTTTTCCAAGAGTTTGGCACAGTGCGTGTTGCTTTTATCTCTGTGAGACAGGCAGAAATGGTGCCTTGTTAAATGTGCTGGTAAACTGCTGCTTATTTGGCACTGCAGCTCCTAATTCTTGCATTGGTGCTTCCTGTCACCAGCTGTGATTTGTACCCTGCAAGCTGGAGGTGGAGAAAGGCCAGTGTGCAGAGGGGAGCACTGCATGAAAAATATGGAGTATCTAGAACTAATTTGGGATTGCAAGTGGCGATGCAGCAATGGAGTCTTCTTTTCCAAAGCTTTAGTGCCTAGTGGTAGTGGTCAAGGATGGAGATGAATATGTGCGTATACAAGACTGTCTCTTGGGAGGAAATTTGATTCAGGGCAGCAGAGCTGTGTCAGGACAGCTTCTTATGGTGTGTCTGCCTTGCAGGGTTAAGAAGCGATAGCCGTGCTGGCTTTAAACCAGCCAGCTCTGTGCTGAAGACAAGTGAAGGTCCAGGATGACAATTGGGTGTTTCCACAGTGGTCATCACATGGATAGAGTCAGTACAACTTCATTTTGGTGCTCATAACCAAACCACAGCGTTGTGTGGGTGGTAAAGCTGCCAGAGCATTTAGGCATCTCATATTGCTCCTGTAGGCTTGGTAGCCTGGACAGAAAGCCAACAGAGGAGTCACCTACTTCTGCAAGACCTTTGGGCTAGGCAGGTCCTCGGGGTGAGCAACAGCAGGGATTGTGGCAGGTCAGGAGAAAAAGGTGACAGTGGAAATGTGGGCAGGAGCTGGCACGGCCCCGCTGTGTGGTGGCACGTCCCTCCAGGAGCACCAGGTTGGCCTCGTGCCTTTGGTTACCCCTCCATGAGGACCATGAAGAGTGGCTCAGGAGCTGCTGCCTCTCTCGTGCTGCTCTCTACCTTTCTCACTCTGTGTCTCTTCCTGTTCCATCTCTTCTCCTTGTTTTTCCAGAAAAGAAAGTCCAGTTCCAGCGTTCAGTTAATGGTGAGTGTCCTTCGTCTTCCTCAATGCCGATATTGCTGGGCCTCTCCACATGTTCCAGCTTTCCCCCGTTTTTGGAAGTTACCTCGGGGTAGGGAAGAAGGGCCACCGGGGTTGGAGGGAACATCCTCAAAGCCGTATCACCCACAGTCCCCATTCACAGGGTTGGTGTAGGCACTTGCTGGCCACTTGGCACTTGCTGGTGGGAAACCAGCCCTGGTTCTTGCTGATGGGTTCTCATGCCGTTTCTCCCAGTTCTCCTGACTCAGGTCTGCAGGCTGCATCGGTCCAAGGAGCCTTGGAGAAACACCTTCCATGCCTCTGCGGGGACTGTATGGTCATGGGACACCTTGCCAACCTACATCGGGGTACTATGGGTAATACATCAGCAAGGCTCTGCTGGGAAGAGCTAGCAGAGCCATTGCTCTAGCTCCGCTAGCAGAGTCGCCTTGATGGGGCTCCTGGAGAGAGACGGGGGGTCAGAACCCCCTCCACCCCAAATCTGTCTAGTGCTCAGCTGTTGATGGAAAGAGCTGTGTCTCAGCCTTCGGTGGTCCATGTGGGTCTTGGAAGCACTCTGTTGTATTGTACATTTCTTTCCCTACTCTGCGGTCAGTGTGGTCTCTCTCACTCCTGCACAGTCCCCTCTTTCTCATCCCAGCTCCTCCTCGCTGTTAATTTGTACATCTCTCTCTATCGTACAGTCAACATGGTGTCTTCCACCCCTGCGCAGCCCCTTCCCTGCCCTCCTGGCACCCCGCCGAGCCGCCCCGGACCTGCCCCACCTCTGTGTCCCTGCAGGCGTCGGTAGGACAGGCAGCGCCGTGCCTGCAAGACCCTCCCGAGCCCAGTCCATGCTCCCTTGGCACACGGCCGGGGGGGCTCGGCCAGCGCGGCGCTGCGCTCGAGCTGTGGTGGAGGACGGGTTGGAGCTGCCGGCGTTTTCCTCGGCTGCCGTCCAGTCGCACAGCCGAGCGCTGTGGGGTCGGACTCGGGGGGCTGTCGGACACACAAGCTCCTCCTGGCATGGGGAGAAGACTGGGCTCACCGTGCTGCCTCCTCTCTGTTCTTTGCTCAGGAATCGTCGGAGAGCACCAACACCACCATTGAGGATGAAGACACCAAAGGTACACCAGTGGGGGTGCGCCAAGGTCACTAGCCTAGCAGCCCCTAATGGGGTTCTTGGCTATGAGAAAGCCCAGCATCAGCACAGTGCCTTGGGTTTCCTTAAGAGTGCACTGCTAGCATAAGTGGCTTCACCTTTGGGTCACCACCAGGAGTATCTGGGACACTGCTGGTGAAGAGAGGAGGCCCACAGAACTGGAAATGGATGATACCATTCCCTTCCTGCATCCTTGCTGAGGTCTGGGCTCCTTTGAGACCAACATCCCTCAAAGAAAAGACTCCAGGAGAAATCTCTCCTCCCTGCCCACTAGAATCAGCTTTCTAAGAATAACCCAGGGAATCATTTATTGGTGCTAATTTGTAAAGTCTCTTGACTAAGTGATCTCAGCGCAACACAAGATAGGCTATAGCCAGATATGTTAGTTGGATACGTGTCCTCCCAAGGCAGGCCTTCCGGTGATGCTCTGTACAGGACAGTCTTCCTTTCTATTAGGAGTGACTTTTGTGTGTCTTTTCATAAGCTTAGCAAAAAACCAAACAAACAAGAATCTCGGTGTTTTTGATTTAAATTTGTATTTTTATTCTTCTTTAAATCAACAGTACGGAAGCAAGAAATCATTAAGGTGACAGAGCAGCTGATCGAAGCAATAAGCAACGGCGACTTCGAGTCCTACACGTGAGTGTGCTCAGTTGTGGGCTGGGCTCAGCGTCCCAGAGCAAGTGCCAAAGGACCTTGCTGCCAAGGGCAGGGTGACCTGGCAGAGGGACGTGGACACCATCCAAGAGACACAGGAAACATTGGTTTCCCAACCCCGTTCTTTCTCACACTGAGATGACCACATTTCTCTGGTCTTGTTAGCACAGATGTGCCCGTTTTCTGGGTTTGCAGAAAGATGAATAACTGCAAGTGTAATTTATGGTGGAAGAAGGAACATTACATCTCTGGTATCATTACACCCAGACCGCCTCGGGCTGCTTGGAAGCAGAACTGCTCTCTGCTTGCTGAGTTGAAGCTCCTCAGACTACACTTCTTCTGTGTCCAAGGCCTATTTAATTAGTGCATCTGAGTGAGTGCAGGTCTGCTTCCCTGCCCCAGAGGACAGCAGCAGAGATATTTTGATACAGAGCAGAGAGAACTGATTTTTCCCTGCTGTTTTTCTCCTATCTCTTACGAAGAAGGCGGCAGTACTTAACAGGAGGTGTTGAGTGATGGAGGGACCTGTGTCATCGGGGTCCCAGCTGAACTTGTGGGGCTGGGGGCAAAGGGTGTATTGGCTTCCTGCAGGGCCAGGCCAGGTTTCTGCTTGAAGACAGTCTTTCTTGCTGGAAGCAATGAGATAATTTCTCCCTTCCCTCTCCCTTCCACCTCCCAGGAAGATGTGTGATCCCGGGATGACTGCTTTTGAGCCTGAGGCTCTGGGGAACCTTGTGGAAGGCCTGGATTTTCACCGATTCTACTTTGAAAACCGTAAGCTGCCCCTTGCCTCCTGAGAAACCTTTCCTACCTCCCATGGCCTGGCTACGTCCCTACCTTTAGCGGCTTGCTGAAGACGGGAGGGAAAAGGTGGCTTTGGGAGCATTTAGGCTAGGTTGGAATATCCCAGATGGTGAATGAAGAGCTGTTTGGTTAGTCATAGAATCAGTAAAGAGGGAAAAGACCTCCAAGGTCACCAAATCCAACCCACCCCCACCATGCCCGCTGACCATGTTCCTCAGTGCCACGTCCCCATATTTATTGCACACCTCCAGGGATGGTGATGCCACTTCACTGTGCAGCCTATTGCAATGCACTGTAATTCTTTCCAAGAAAAAACTTTCCTAATATTCAAGCTGGTGCAACTTAAGGCCATTACCACTTGTCCTAGCTCCCTAGGTTCACCCATCCTGAGCCTAGTATGTCCTCAGCCTTCCAACCCCAGGACATCCCCTTCCACACTGAGGAGCCACCTAAAGTCCTTCCCCTGCCTCAGGCTACCCTGATTATCCCCTTTCTAGTGTGGTCCCGGAACAGCAAGCCTGTGCACACGACCATCCTGAACCCCCACATTCACCTGATGGGAGATGAGTCTGCCTGCATCGCCTACATCCGCATCACGCAGTACGTGGACGCAGGGGGCATCCCCCGCACTGCCCAGTCTGAAGAGACCCGCATCTGGCACCGCCGGGATGGCAAATGGCAGATTGTCCACTTCCACAGATCTGGCGCGCCCTCTGTCCTACCGCAGTAAGCCCTGTGAGCATCCAGGGGCTGCAGATGAGGTGGAAGGGTGGGATCCTATCCCAAAGAGCATAGCTGTAAGATTTGCGGTGGGGAGGAGATGGGCAGTGGTCATGAGAGGGCAGTGGGAGAGGGATGCTCTGCTGGAATGATGGCTGAAACAACGTCCTGCTCTGCTTGTTGGTGTTTTGCAGCTGAAGTGTGGTACGGCCCGTGCTGGATTTGTCACTGACTGACTGCCAGGGGAGACCTTCCAACTCTTCACCTACAGGATTTTGGCTGTTGGCTCTGCTGCTTGGTTCCTGCTGGAATAGCTCCTCGCTTCTCACTGCACACATGCAACGGCCTCAGCGGCACCTACAAACATCCCGTCTCCATCCCCTTTCACCAGGACCCCTTCCTCTGCATGAACGAAGAAAAGAAAAACCATGAACCTAAATCTGAGCACTTGATACCTGCCAGGGCAAAAGGCCCCCCTACAGCCCTGCAGTCCCATACATCCCACAGATTGGGACAGGACTCTTCATCCACCTCCATTGCCACTTCTGCTGGCAGCTCCCCAAAGAAGAGGAGGTTGTGGGGAGCTGCTCTGTGCCACACACCCTCCGCACGCTGGTGGATTTTGCCTTGCTGCTATCAAGGTCCCTGCCCGCTGCCCTGAGCTCATGCATCCCGGCAGCCTCAGCTGGGGAACCTGGGTTTTAAACCATTTGCAAAATTCAGCTTCTGTGCATCTTGGGTGAGGAGGGGAATACGTGGATGGGTGAGTAAAGGTGTCCTGGTGTTTTCTCTTCCCAGGAGGGTAAGTAGATTTGCGCCTTGGCAAGCTACCAGGATGTTCTCTCTCCTTTCTCCCCTCTCTCCTGGGAGCGGGGACTGGCAAAGCTGGGAGAACAGAGGAGAAAGATGACCTCTGTCTATCACCACCAGTGGGCTCGGGGCAGCAAATCTCTCCACACCCTGCTCCCATCCCTTTGGATCCTAGCCCCCAACCCCTCGCATGCAGCATCTGCAGCTCCCCATGGCACAAAGGCTGAGGTTGCTGAGCTGGCCACTGATTGGAGACACAGATGCCATTGCCCACATGACACCTTCCAGTGAAGATGAGGAATGCAAGCTTTAGTGACAAAACTCTGCAGAATCTGGTTGTGCTTTGAAGAAACAAACAAGCCTTTAGCTATCTTCTACTTTGAGCGCATGCCTTTTTATAGGAAAAAGAAAACAACCTACTGTGTATTTCGTAACTTGATTTTGAGTATTTGCTGAAATGGATCTTTATGTAATATCTAGAAACATTCAACTGTTTGGGGTCGGGGGGTGGGGGATTTTGGGGGGGTTGCTGTTTTCTGTTGCGTTTACATTTGGAGAGGGGTTGCAACGCCACGCCGCTCCCACCGGGGCTGCCAGCAGGCAACGACACCAGGGCAGCCGTGTCCCTGGGACACCAGTGTCCCCAGGCTTCTGCACCTAGGGGGCTGCTTGCATGGCAAACCCAGAAGGGGACTCTTCTGAGCCACCAAGGTATGGTTTTTAGGATGGAAGGCAGGGCCAGGACAGGGAATTTTGGTCCTGCCCCTCTGCCATCAGGTAGAGGTTTGACAGACGTGAGGGCGGTGGATTTTCCAGCAATGCTTCAGCTTCTTGTTGTCTTTTCCCAATGGAAGCCCTTTTCTCGTTGACATGGGGCTCCTGCAGTGCTGCTGCCCCAAGGACTTTCTAGTTGCACTCTCTTCATCTGCATGGCGTTTAACTTTCTAGACGGTGCGTGTGTTGAAAAACAAAGAAATTATCAAAAGAAGCACTTGTTTTGGACATTGAAAAAAAAAAAAAGGAAAAAAAGGAAAAAAAAAAAAGAAAAAAAAAAGGAAATGTTTTCTCCATGTAAATTCTGGGTGTGTATTTTGCCTTTTCTGTGGTTTTGAATGCTTTGCTCTTTGTCTAGGCAGGGATGGCTGCCTCGCGAAATGCAGCCACGTCCTTGCAGACTGCAAAAATATTTTCCTACTGGATGGAGGGGCAGGAATCCAAACTGTTGGGGTATTGAGAGGCTGTGAGAAGTTTCTGTTGTGTCTCACTGTGCAGGGACCGTGACTGTTGCTGGCAATGTTGTATAGGAGAGACTTTTTTGGAAAGAAATCTCAATGGTCCTCTTCGGATGCGAGTGTGTGTCCCCATGCCTTTGGTGGACCTTTGCTGGTTGACTGTGGAGCTATGTTGGCTTGCAAGAATTGCCCCCAAAGCAGGGATATCTATTCAGGGAGAGAACAAGCTTTTAAGACAGAGTTGGGGTGCTTTCACAGACCCATTTTTCTTCCTGTAGTTGCGTAGTGCTGATTTATTTTATTTTTTTCCTTTTTCATTTTTAAAGGAAGGACTCAGCTCTTTCACGGTTCTCCCTCCTCCCCAGCATTGGCTCTGAAGCCAGCCGTGGCCAAGGTCTCATCCACCTCCTGATGTCAGAGCTGTACTGCAGATGGGTGTGAAATTGACAAGAAAGCAGGATGCTGTGGGGCTCAGCCTAGTTTTGGAGCTGCCAACAGCTCTGGGAAGTTGCTCCAGCAGACAAGTGCTGGAGAAAGGGCTGGGACAGGTCTTGTGTAGGGTTTGTTGGGCCTGACAGATGGGATGGTGGGGTAGATGCAGTGTCCTTTTACAAGAAGCCCACTTCAAGCAGTTGCTGACTGAGGAGAATATCTTGGTTTCCAGAGAGGCTTTGAGCTGTTTTTTGGAGGTGATTTCTCTTCCTTGAGGCTTCCCTACCGCCATCTCTCCAAGGACAGGTTCTTTGCGAGGCACCTGGATGTCTTTGCAACACCCAAAATGCTCCCAGTTCTTCTAAGGGAAGTATAGTCTTTTTTCCAATTGTTTCTAGTCTTCCAGTCAAGCCAAAGCCTGACCGAGGAAGACCCAACTTCCCAACCTGCCTAAGTTGGCAGCATTAAGCACCTGCACTTTAGAGGTCTGTTCTGCCTGGTTTCTCTCCCCATTTCACCCTGGTTCTCCAGAGCAGGTTTCTGTCTCCCCAGAACATCTCTGAACAAGCACTGATAAGCCAACACCTTTTCTTTTAGTAGCCATTGCGAAAAACTTTGCCTGTCTTCCTTTGCATTTCTTGATTTTTGCCTGAACTTACAGGAAAACTTTATAAAAAATCAACATAATCATATGCCACAGCCTTTTTTTGGCTTGCAGAACAAGGGATGCTGCAGTTACATCTGTACCAGATGTTCTTGCTAGAGACTGTGCTGTTGGCACCAACTGTATTGCATGCTATCTGGTATTGCCCCAGCAATACAACCACAGTTCTGTCATCAAGTGATGACAAGGTCCAGGAGATGTTTACAATATGCAATATGGATGATGCCACCTTCTTGTGATGGAGTTCACTGCCATGGTCTTCCTGTCCTCAGTATCCTCAAGGCCAGAGATCACCTAATATCCTAGTGCAGGTACAGCCTGACTGGTCTGTCCATCCAGGTCATTGTAAACTCAGAAGTCCTCCAATTTGTCATCTCTTACATCTCTTAGACCACTGCAGATAACTGAATCTGAGGACTTGCTATGGCGTTCTCAGGCTCCCAGACCCACAGGTGGAGTTGGGAGCTGCTCCTTTTCCTTTCTGGACTGCCAAGGTCCACTTTCAGCTGCAACACCTTCATTTCTCAGGTCTTGCTGGTATATCCACTCTGGAAGGAGAAGAAGCCACCCCTGGGCCTCTGCTCTTTGCTGGAGAGAGCAAATGCTCCGCTCCTCCCTCTAGGCAGGCACAGCCAGGACAGCTCTTTCCCCTTCCTGAATAAATGCTCCACTTTCCAGGCACCAAACCCCACAAATTTGCCTCGTTTCCCTCTGCCCAACATGAATTTATGATCCTGTGGAGGCATGCAGGATGGAGCTGGCAGCATTTGAAGCTCATGGACTTCTGAGAAACACCAGCAAACAGCAGAGGTGTGTTTCAAAGGGCAGCTACACTTTCTGTGTAGCCCCATGGACCAAGAGCTGTCTGCCAGCAGAAAATCCCATAACCAAATCCTCTGATCATCCCAGGAGCTGGGCTAACCCTTCATCTTCCATCACGGGACACTTCTCATGGTCTACAGAACCATCTTGATGCAAACAACGCACTCCTGCTAGCTGGACGAAGACTTTGCCATTGCCCATTTCCAAAAGTGCAGACCCCAGCCCTTTCATTCCAGACAGGGAAACTCAGATTTTGAACGGGCTGTGGACACATCACAGTAGGGGATAGTGGCCTCTGTGCCATCTGTCCCCCAGAGGCCACCCTCCTCAGCAGACAGTCCTTTCTGCCCTTAGGTACAGACGAGGGGGTGCAGAGGGGCCGTATTGAGTGGCTCCTTCCTTCCTTGAGTTGTTGTCCCCTTTTTCTAACTGTTGCACAATTTTAGGGTTTTTGTAACATTTTTTTGGACAAGCAGGGAAAATACGTTCACAGTGGTTTAAGAAAAAAAACAACCAAGATCTCTCTCTCATATTATATATATATAAAAATATATATATATGCATACAGGAATTCTCTATGGAAATATTTATTTAAGATGACTGCAAAAATATATATATATTAATTAAGAGTATACTAAGCTTTGTCAAGCAACATAAACCAGGCCCTGGGGAGGGTGGCTGCCCATCCCCTGTGTCTGTAAGTCCATACGGTTGCAGCTGAAGCCTTTATCCTTTTGTATGCTTACTCAATCCTTCGAGCAGTGCGACCACGTTGGATTCTGTGGGCTCTCGATGCGGGGGGGGAGGGATCGGTATCGTTTCCTTGTCCTTTGTTTTCAGAACCTGTGGCTGCAAACGGAACGATCACTGTTCGACTCGGATGCGATACGTGGGAGGGCAGCGGGGGGGCCGGGCGCGGGGCGGGAGGGCGATTGTCCGTTTTATTCTTGGTGTTCAAGTGCAATAAATAGCTAACAACTTCTGAGCATGGAAACGGGTGATTCTCCGTCACTGCAGTGACTCAGACCGTTTGCATCCCTCCGTTGCTGCCCATGAAAGCAGTGAGGCTTAGAGCAAAGCCTGGGTTCCTGGGCTCACCGTGGCAGCTTCACGTCACTCCCAGCCCTGGCTGTCCCCGTTGCAGGGTGATGGGAACACAGCGCTGGGCTGCTCTGAGGGCAGCAGGAGGAACTCAGGGGTGATGTGGAGCCGTGGGGCGGCGTGGCATGGCTCGGCTCCGCGCCTGCAGTGGTGCTGCGGTCCCACGAGGTGTCAGCAGAAGGCTGTGCTGCGGGAAGCAGGCAGCGCCTGTCCCGAGGCCAACCTCTGCCCCTTGGCAGTATTTCCGTCACTCCGTGCCAAAAAGTGTTGCTGCAAGGTCAATGCGGTGGCAGAGCAGGGTGTTCCCCAGAGGGCGGAACGCGTGGAGGCGTAGGGATGGATGCAGTGCTGTGTCCCAGTGCGCTGTGCCCAGGGGACGTGTCCCTGCCCTGTCCTTCACACTGCACCTCCAAGCGATGGCAGGCATGCAGCCTGTAGGATTCCATGGGGGAATGTGGGGCCAGGACCCCATGGAGCCACGCAGAGCCCAGAGCAGAGTGCCCAGCTCAAAAATTCTCCACATCCTGTGAGGATGTTCCAAGTGCCTCCAGCACTCCGTGGCCAGCAGTGATGCCATGAAGTGCCCAAGCCCACCTCCTGCTCCATCACATCCATCTCTCAACAGGGCCAGGCTGGTTGGGGTCCCCCGGCCCGCACACCACGGTGGCTGGGCAGCACCGTGACCTCCCGAGGCCTCCCGCTCAGCAAATAGTGTCAAGGTTAGAGCGAGGATTCATTGGGGCCATAAATGTTTATGGCAGGCCCTCCCCGCTCCCCAGCCGCCACAGCCTGAACTTTCCATCAGCGACACTTTTATGGCCGGCCTCTAATGATTAACCCAGGGAATAGCGGACGGAGGTGCTTTGCGGCACGGTCGCACTGCCACAGCCCAACGGGCCCAGGGAAGGGGTCTGATGAGGAAGAATAAAGGTCAGAGCCAGCTGAGAAGCGAGCTTGAGTTGTGCTCAGTGCCTCCAGCGTGGAGAGAAAAGCAGCAGGAGAAAGGCACGTTGGAGAACATCCCTACAGACCCAGAGGTGCAAAGGCAATAATTAAATCCCCCACAGTGACAGGGAAGGGACACTGAGGAGCAGCACAGACTGCTGCTGGGTGCTGCTGGAGGGCTGGCTGGTTTCTCCCCGTGGTGGCTATGTGCTGCGCAGCACAGTGGAGCCTGGCACACGTGGGTGACGTGATGACATGGCCATGCCAGAAAAGCCTCGTGCCAGGTTCGCCCTGGAGAGAGCCCAGTACATCAGGGCTACAGGCATAACCCAGACATAAGCCCTCATTTTTCTGTTTATCCTTCATTGTGGTTTTTACCTTAGTGGAACAGAGACGCGTTGGACAATGCAGCAGGTGTCTGTGCCCCACGTACCTGGAATCCCCTCTGGATGTGCCCTTCTGGATGCTGTGTGAGCTCCTCTTCCTCTACCCAGGCAGGAGGTACCCTGGGGCAGCTGCACTTGCATGCTTTGCTGCTGGATCCAGTTGACTCCTGTACATGAGCTCCTGCATTTATGGGGAACCAGAGATCCAGCCTCTTCCCATTCTTCAGCTTGCCTGAGCCCTGCCCCTGTACGGACCTACAATCTCAGGATGTCCCAGGCCAGTTTATTTATAAAGCACTTTATTTCCTTCTTACTATTTTTACTGCTCATTTATTAGGTCAGATTTCAGCAGGATGCTGATGCACCCTGGTTTTGCTGGGGTGTCTCTGAGGGCACTGACACAGACCTTCCTCAGGGCATTTAGGATATTGAAATTCTTTCTCACATGTGTTTGTGGGTTGCTGGAGTTAAACACATATTAGCAGAGAACGCACAAACTCAGAGGACTGCCTCCTTCTGCACCAAGCATCCCTGGGCTGGGGCCAAGGGCCTGGGGCAACCCAGATGCTTGCACAGACATTGTCACATGAACACATGGACTCGTTGCACACCTTGCCACACTGAACACAAACACCTTAGGGGTGACAGGACAGGCAGCATCTCTGTCCTGGCAGGGCTGGGGTGGTGGTGAGGGGTCCAGCAGGGCCAGCAGATCCTAAAAGCCTCCCCAGCCCTGAGCCAGCTTGAAGTGCTAAAGTGTAAAGAGGAGAATTTATCCCCTCACATCATGGACTCCTCCTCTTCCTCCTCGATCTCCTTGTCCACCTCAATGGCCGTGTTCTCATAGCTGGTGATGCCCCCGTATTTCCGCATGTGGACCATCAGTGGTTTGGGGGACTGGCTGCCAGCCAGGCTGGCCACATATGTACCGGTCCGGTTCTCCTCCAGCGATGGGCCCCAGTCCATGGTGGGACGGCTGGCTTGCTGGAAGCGCTGTGAAGGGATGGGTAGAGGGGTGTGGGTGCTCACTGTGGCGTGGCACCTGCTGTGCTCCCCTCTATCATTCATATCCTTTGTGGGATGAGCTCCAGAGTGGGTGGGAAGGGGCCAAAAGACTATCCTGCAGCATTTGGGGAAAGCAACAGTGTCTCACTGCCCTTCTGTGCTTTGCAGCGGTCTGTTGGTCTGCATGGGATGGTGGGGAAGGCTCGTGGGAGCTGGGAGTTAGTGCAGGGCTATGGTGTAGAATTAGATCCTTCTAGGTAATGGGTTAGCATCCATCAAGGTGGTTCCTGGTCACGTCATCATGTCCAGGACCAGGCTCCTCCTTCCAAAGGCTGCAGCCTGGGGAGGGCAGCAAGCGCTGCAGCTCTGCTCATAGCAGCCAGGGGAGAGCAGCAAGGTAAAACCCAGGCTGGGATGCTGCAAGCAGCTACACAGCCTGCCCCTGGGCAAAGCCTTTCTGCACCACTGCTTCCTTGTTTTGCCTTTTCTACTGCAAAATGGCTGTGAAGTCCCACATGTCTCTATTCCCCGCATGAAAGGAACAACACTCCATGCATTTCACAGGCAGCAAATCACCAGACAGCACAGGATGGGCAGGGGCTCAGGATCAGCTGTTCACATTTTTGGGGTGCTTCAGGGCCTCCTACCTCCCACAGCGTCCCTTCCTCTTGCAGCACAGCCATGAGCATGCCTGCAGGAATCATCAGGCAGGAGCAGAGTCCCATGAGGATGCCCAGGGCCTCAGCCCAGGCAGGGAAGCGGTAGCTGCCATACTCAGAGGGCTGGTACTTGATGATGTTGTACACCAGCAATGCCTGTGGAGTGGAGGGAAAGCAAGTCAGCTCAGAGCTCCCCAAAGGTCTCAGCAGAACCAGAGCGGTCCTTTGAGAGGTCAGTAGAGCAAATTGTGACAAGGAGAGGTCACCAGGGATTCTAGCACCATCTAGCCCGGTGGTTACCATCATCGTAGCTGGGGACAGGACCATCCAACAGGCTCTGAAGTAGGGCCCTGGTTGGAAGCCCAGCATCATGTGAATGTCTCTGCAGAACCTCTTCATGCCTAGAGAAGGGACAGGGACAAGGATTCAGCAGCTGCCATCTCCCAGGACCATAACGGCAAGAGCGTTTTCCTCTAGAAGCAAAGAAGCATTTCTCCTCCCAGCTGGAAATGCAGGAAGGAGGACCCAGCTGGTCTGAGGGACCAGGCTCAGTCCCACACATATCTCTGGGAAGTGAATCCAGTGAAAGAGAAACAAGAAGAGGTGCCTCATGTTACACTGTGAGGCTGCTGGCTCCCGTCCTGTTCCCTCCAAATACCTCTTTGTCACTCTGCCCCCCCTCTTTGTCATACCCGCTCTTCCCCACGTCCCCATGGGACAGACCCTCTTACCATAGACACGTGTCACTACCAGGCAGGTAGTGATCACCACCACCATGAGACCAAAGCCAGCGCTGTAGTCATCCAGCAGGACCAGCCAGTACATCCCGCCCTGCAGAGTCCAAGCACAGTGACCAGCATCTCTGGGACCAGCATCCCAATAAAATCCTACCTACACCCTCCCACTTGTGGGATCATACACCCCTTGCCCCATGTTGGCAACCTCAGGAGACATCACTTCTCTTCTGGGGTTGGTACAAGGACAGTAATGCTGCATTACTCCCTGTGGGACTTCACATCCGCAGGGAACCCAGCCCCATCAGTCATCTCTCTCCCACCTTTTTAGCTGACATGAATATATTTGTCTCTGTCTTTAGGATGAACCCCTGGTCAGTCCCCAGTGCATCCATCCCCTCACCTTACCTCTGTTGTGAGGATCAGTCCCATTAGGAAGAGGCCAATGCAGATGGCAGCCGAGAAAACAGCTTTCTTTGGTCGCAGGTAGTAGGGAAATTCGTCTGTCACTGCCGTCACGATGGTCTCCATAAAGGCAAACTGAATGGGAAGGAAAAGAGGATTCCCTGATCCTCCTGGGATGCCTGGCACTGCAGCTGGCCTGCTGGGCTCTGTCCTTACCTGGCTATCCAGGCCCAAGGTTAACAGCATGAAGAAGAAGAGGAAAGACCAGAATGGAGAAAGGGGGAGCATTGTCATGGCCTGGGGGTACACCACAAAAGCCAGGCCAGGACCTAGGGGAGGTAAAGGACAGCAGGGTGAAAAGGGGGTGACAGAGCAGGGCATGGAGGAAAGAAGGCTCCAGCAGCATGACACTGCAGTGGGGACTTGTCCACAGCCCTGCAAGATGGGCAGGAGAAGGTGTCGAGGTGCAGAATAAGCCTGTTTCTTGTTCATGCCATTGTTAGGCATCACTCAGTGCTGTTTAAGATTTGCATGGCAGGGAGCAATCTTCCTCCTTCCCTTTCCTGGCCAACAAGCCTGCAGCTCCATCCCTCACACTGACATCCTCAGCTGCCTTTCATCCCCGTGCCTGAGTGGGGTGGAAGTCTCCCATCTCCCCCATCCCAGCTGAAGGTGCTACAGGGAATGAAAGATCTGCCCCACACCTCCCCTTCCCAGCTCCTTGCTGTGCCCTGGCAGAGATTCCGGGAAAACAGGTCCTTGTTTGACCTCACCTGCTTTGGCCACTTGGTTGACGGGGACCCCGAGCTCCTGGGACATGTATCCCAAAACAGAGAAGATGGCAAACCCCGCCAGAATGCTGGTGATGGCATTGCCCAGGGTGACTATGAAGGTGTCCCTACAGAGAAGAAAGCAAATGCTCTGAACATAGCAGCCCCATGCTGGGGTGGCCTTGCCAGCCCTGGTTTCGCTGCAATGCGATCCTCCCAAGGGCCTCCCTCAGTGGGTACTTTCCAGAGGTACCAGGAACCTGTATCTAATGACACAGGTCATGCTGTGGGGTTTCTCCCAAACTTGCTTTCCTTTGTGGAGGGAATCAGCCCAGCACCAAGACTCTCCTCTCTGCCTGTGGCTGCAGTGGGGAACAGCTGAAGCTTTTGTGGCTCCCCAGCTATGATTTTGAGGAGATGGCTCCTACCTGTAGATGTTCTGATGAAAGGTGTTGTATGAGGCAAAGGTGAGGAGGCCCCCAAAGCCTACCCCAAGGGAGTAGAAAATCTGCAGGGCTGCTTCGATCCACACCTGAGGGGAAACAAAGTGAAGGGAAGCCTGGATTTGGAAACCCCCTGGAGACATAGGGGTGGGAAGCACAGCACAGGTAAGGTGTGGAGCAGAGACAAGCTGCTGACTGGAAATGTTTTAGGTCTGGTGGAGGAGGGGGAGAACTTTGGGCCAGAAGCTGGCCAGAAAAGACCTACAGGCAGGGGAACTGCCTTTGTTGTGTGCTGGAGATGACAGGAGAATATTCATTTTTGTGTCTCGGACAAATTACTGAAAGCCCTGCTCACCTTGGAAGACAGCAAGTGGTCAAACTGGGGCGTGAGGTAAAAGCGGATTCCCTTCCAGGCCCCCTCCAGTGTCACACCACGGATAAGCAGCATCACCAGGATGAGGTATGGGAAGGTGGCAGTGAAGTACACGACCTGTGGGAGAGCAGAGCTGGCTGCAGAGCTGGAGCAGCGCACCTGATCCCCTATAGCACATCCTGGGATGGGACACTGGGTCACCCAGAATCACCTGCAGTGCTGAGGTCCTTGGGATGCAGCATGGCCAGCGGCGTTGGTGTCAGGGTGTTCAAGCCACCCCCAAATAGCCCATGTCTAGCAAATGTTTATGGCTCTCACTTCCCAGATGCAAGGAGAAATGCAGACACAGGAAGACATCCCTGAAGAGACCATCCAGCCCTTACCTTGCCGGAGGATTTGACTCCCTTTAAGATGCACAGGTACACAATGGTCCAAGAAAGGAGCAGGCACAGACACAGGTTCCAGCGGATCCTGCCAGGATCCCCGATCCCGGAGCTCCCTTGGATGTGCAGAACGTAGCGGCTAGGGCGAAAAGAGAACGGCTGCTGAGCAGTCGGTGGGACTTGTCCACAGCGCGCTGCAGAGCTGCGAGGGAAGCCTGGCTATGAGTGAGTCCTGGCTGGTCCAGCTGTGGGATACGTTTCCTTCTAAAGTATTTCCAGGCCATCAAAGCAACTCCAGGTAATGGACACATCCCATAGTCCCAATGGCTGAACACCCAATGCTGACAGTGAGCTCGTCACCGCACCCACAATAGGAGTGCCCACCTTCTATCCTTGTTCTCTCCCTGTTCTCCACACCTCCTCACCTCCAGTACTCCTCGCTGGGGCTGACGGTGTTGGAGATGTTGACGGGGAGGGTGGTGTTCCCCGCCTTGAGGATGCGGTGATCCAGGCACAGGTCAGTGTTCCACCAGTTGCCGCAGTGCTGCCAGGGCAAGTCGCTTGTGAGGGATGCAAAGAGGTAGAAGAGAACGTAAGCAATGATCATATTGTAGTAAATGGCCACCAGGGAGACGATGAGGATGGTGCCCATGCCAATGCCTGGAGGAAGGAGAGGGTAAAGAAGAAGTGAGCCATCTCTCCGGAGCAGAGTGCATCCATATCCAGGGTCAGACACTGGGGTTCAGCAGTCACACGGTTAACCAGCTCCAAGGCAGAGGTTCACCTGCTGGGGAATCTCCTTTATTGACCTCTCTGCATGTGAATTGATAATATATTCCATAGAATCATTAAGGTTTGAAAAGACCTAAGATCCCCAAGTCCAACCCCAGCCCATCCCACCATGCCCACTGATGGCGTCCCTCAGTGCCACATCTCCACAGTTCTCAAACGCCTCCCTGGGCAGCTGTGCCACTGCAACACCACTCTTTCTGAGAAGAAATGTTTCCTAATATCCAATCTGAACCTCCCCCGGTGCAACTCAAGGCCATTCCCTCTTGTCCTGTCACTGGCAACCTGAGAGAAGAGATCAACCCCTGCAACACTACAACCTTCTTTCAGGCATTATACAGAGAGTTTTGCTCCAGCTCAATGTTTGATCTGAACTTTTTTTGAACACTTTGTTCTTACCTTTTTAACAGCCTTTGCTTAGCTTCAGTGCTGTATTTTGTACACTGACTCAGTTTTTCATACAATTTCATATAATTTCTAGAGCTGATGAGGACATGCAGAGACTCTGACGACAGGTAGCTCATACATATCTTGCAGCTACCCAAATGACTGACCCAGCAGCCTGACCAGCTCCATTTTCCCCCAGCGTTTAACCTTTGAGGACAGTGGGATGAGGATTCTGGTCCATGGCCCCATCCAGCAGCTCTCATGGAAGCACTGCGGGGGCTCTGGATTTCACTCACGCACCTTTAAACAGAGGGCTGATCTTCCAGACAGCAAGCGGCCCCAGGCTGGAGAACTGCCCGAGTGACAGCTCCATGAAGAAGATGGGGATCCCACAGATGGCCAGCATGATGAAGTAAGGAACCAAGAAAGCTCCTACGGGAAGCAGAAAGGAAAACAACCCTGAAATGAATGCGGAGTGAACAGCTAAAGCCCACCTAGTAAAAGGAAAATATCCTTACCACAACCTCCCACTGCCTTCCCAGGAAGGGGCCAGAATATTAACTCTGCAGACAGGGGCAGCAGCAGCTCCCCACAATACCGCCCACCCCAGATCCCAGAGGGCACCGTGCCCCTGCTGTGTGATTCGCACCTTGCTTTGCTTTGCCCACATACTCAAAATGTTTTCTCCTCAAATCTTTCACAAACTCCACAATCTTCTCCAGTTATTGCTGCTCCTCAGCCCCGAGATGGGGGAGGGCTGTCTATTCAGGGACCGGCCCAACTCAGTGATAAGGGGAGGCGGCTGGAAGGATGCATGAGTACCTCCTCCATTGGTGTAAGCCCTGTAGGGGAACCTCCAGACGTTTCCCAGGCCCACGCAGTACCCGATGCAGGAGAGGAGGAAATCCAGACGTCCCGTCCAGTTCCCTCTGTCTTCTGGGCACTGGGAGCCCAGCTCTCCGTCCTGGCTGCTGGGGCTCACCAGGAGCTCTGGTGTCACCGGCTGAGTGAGAGAGGGTGCAGGAATAGGAGAGGATGGCCAGGGATGGAAGGAAGGGGTAAAGCAGGGGAAGAAGGGAAGGAAGGATCTCTGAGAGGTGTAAATTCATGACCACTAAGTCACAGTGATGATGTTTGTCACCTTTCTGGTGGTTCTCTGTACGCCACCAAGCCTACGGCTTTAAAGCAAGCTGACATCCTTTGAAAGGGGATCAAATCCATCCCACATGGCCAGAGCCCCCTGGGAAAGGCAGTTTCATCAAGAAATCATCTCAAGGGGCCACGACAAGGTTTTCTCATCTTCAAAACACGAGCGTGAGTATGGCATGGGAAGAGCCCTCTCCTTGTGGGGTGCATTGGGTTCAGCTCCAGTGAGGCAAGAGGACAGAGGTGTCCCTGCAAACAGGACACCAGGACCAGGGCAGGGGGATTCTCCTTCTTCTGGAGTCTTAAAAGGGAAAAACAACGATCTCTGCCTGAATTCATAGACCATAGAGAGCCAGACTTTGAGGTGCAGATGTGGGAGGATAAGTCCAGAACTGTGGGTCCTCCTTCCCATTGGGATGCAGTGTTCTGTACAAGGTGGCACAGCCCTTTCCTCCTCATCCTTCTTCTCCTCTCCGTCCAGCCTGGGCTGATCCTGCTGCCAGTTCCCATGGAGACCAGGAGCCATTCTGCAATGGCTGCACGCTCTCACCCTGCTCCTGCCCACCAGCACCAAGTGAATCCACCTGGTGTGGGGTGATCCGGCAGCTCTTCCCAGAGCCAACCTGAGCAAAAGGCTGGCATCAAAACCCAACCCTGGCTATAGAAGCCACCCCTGAAAGCCCATCCCTGTTGCATGCCATAACCACAGGGTACGGGCTGGAGGAAAAGCTTCAGGCTGCAAAGTAAAACCATGACCTAAATATAATACCATCGCTACAAAACACCGCTGCCACCTGGCAGCCCTCCTGCAGCTCCTTAACTGAGCTCTCTGATTAAGCAATTCCTCATTTTGGCCATACCCTCTAATTAACCCAGTGCACAGCCACAACCCACAGCAAACCATGTTTGCAGACGGTGGACAGACTGTGCTGCAGCATCCCTGCTGAGACATCAGCTGTGCTCCCTGAGGTCACTGGCAGGTGGGGCAGTGGGAGCACAGGGGTAGCGGAGGCACAGAAGGGACTGCATCACCCACATTGCCCAGATCCTCACCCACCACACAAAGCCTGGGCTGATATCTGAATGAAAACAAATTGCAAAATGCAGTATTTAAGGATTCCAGACCACCTTTGTTCCAGACAACAGAGAGCTGCACACCTCACTGATTCAGGTGGATATCTCACGCTGAGGCTCTCTTTCAGCCCTTTTTTTTTTTAAAGACTAATAACCTCTTTCAGCCTCTCTCATAACAGGGCTTTTCTCTCCCAGCAGAGGCTGACACACAGCTCTGTGCCAGTGCTTTGCATGCAGAGCTGCCATCTTTCAGACCGGTTACAGACAGACAGGGACCATCCGCTCCCCTGGCATCGCTGTCCTCCAGCGCTGCACCACTCTGCATCCAGGGGATGCCCCCAAGAGGTCAGCAAAGTAAAGGGCACCAAGAAGAAAAGGTGTTTGAGATTCTGGTAAGATACGAGCTGGCTTCCACAGTGAAATCATCCTGTGCTAATTACTATCTGCAAACTGCTTTGCTTAAATTTAACCTCTACAAAACTCAACAGTCACAAAGCTGGAGCTGTGAGAAGCCAGCCAGCTCCAGGTTGATTTTTTCATCGTATTTTGCCTCGATTCATACTTTTGGCATCATTTCGTTGTTTTGTCCGTGATTTGTTGACAATTTTGTGTGTGAACCACAGCGTCTGGCTGAGGAAATGCCACCCAAAGGCAGATTTCTGTGCCGTGAGCACAGTGCGTCTGTGCCATGTGAGTCACTCCGGATCAGTTCGGATTGCTTGTTAATCTCTTGCAGAAAAAAAATCCCCTGGCTGCAATGGGCCAGGCTGTGGCATGGCACAAGGAGGCTCTGCACCCAGCACCTGTTGGAATGGGGACATCCCAGTGCCAGGCTCCCACCCTTGCACCAAATAATCCCTGAAGCATGTAAGAAATCCCGTGTAGGAAAAAAATAAAATCAGATCCACTCAGCCCTTACGGAAATACTATTATGCAAAAGCAAAAATCCTTAGAGCCTGAGAAAGATCTCTATTCAGGAGGAATTTCCATATGTCTGTTAGAAACTCCCGGCTTGCAAATAGGAAGCGGATGCAGGTGAGGAGGGGCTGCTGGGGTTGTGGGGCTGTGTGAGTGGTTCCAACAGCTCCAGAGAAACCTCAGCCCAGGGGCAGGCATGGCATCCTGCCACCTGAAGGGGACACCTCCTACTGCCTCCACCCAGGGCTCTGAGTGGCTGGGATGGTGAAGGGCCCCAAGCAGCACCGGAGATGGGGAAATAACTCCAGAGTCATCTGCTTTCCATTCAGGCTGATTGCTGTGGGACTAAATGGATTCCTGAGTAAATGCTAAACAGGACCGTGAGCAGCAGAGAAATTTCTTTGCACTCAGAAAGGCCTTTGGAGGGACAAGGAGAACTTTGAATGGTTCTTGCAGTTGCTGAGTGATCTGAAAAAGCGATTTGTAGGAAATGGAAGAGGACAGAGCTGCCTCCCAGCCGCACGGAGCAAAGCAGAAGGCTGCCAGAGAGCTGCTGCCTTGTGCCAGGCCAGCACTGGGTTTTTACATCATGCCCCAGCATCCCAGGAATTTCCTGTCATGGACAAAACTCTTAGGGTTTTCATTCCTGCAGCTGGAGGCAGGGCACAGGCTGGAGCCATCCTTACCCTGCGGTTAGCAGGCAGAGCAAAAAGGTGAAGGGCAGTGCCTGAGTGTGCTCTGGGCAGCACCCACATGCAGGAACAGCAGCATGAGAGCTGGGATTGCCACTCAGCCACGCCACAGCACCCAGCCTCATGTGGGAAGGGCAATGCAAGGGGCTCTGTCCCTGGTGCAGGGGCAGAGGGAAGACTGGAAGGGCAAGACTGGCATGGGGAAGTCTGAGAGCTGGGTCTCAAAGAGCTCCCATCAGGATTCCTAGCTCCACTGGCCTCCAAAGGGTAAAAGGGGAGCTCAGGATCCAGCAGTCCTGGTCCCCTGAGACCCTCAACCCCAGCCTTGGGCAGTGAAGAAGCAGCCCAGCTGTGTCCTGATCCCATGGGGGAACCCGGAGCCCCCGAGCTCCCTACATCAGGGGGCAGCATCCTCATGAGCAGCACTGCGGGACCGAGCACCTGGTGCCCACCCTCCCGGGCATCCCTGGCACAAATCATTGCCAGCAGCACCTGCCTGGGGGCAGGGGCTGGGGACGCATCCCTTCACCAAGTCCCTACAAAATGACCCCCACCCGTCTCCAAATGCCCCTCACCCAATTTGCAATCCGTGCCCCCAGCCATGCACCCCATGGGGCGATGGCACGCGATGTCCCCGTGCTCCCACATTGGCTCTCACCTTGCGGAGCTGCTGCTGCCGAATCTTCTTCATCCCAGAATCCTGTTGCTATGCGCTCCCCGATCCGACACTTGTTCTCTCACTCCGCAGACGGAGGTAGGGAGGGAGAAGGGGGAGCAGAGCGGGCGGGCAGAGGGGGGTGCCGGGGTGGATGGATGCAGGGGGCGGAGGGGGGGGCACAGCCCGGCAGAAGGCTCTGCCTGGAGTTGGGGCTGGCTGCACGCTGAGCGGGGAGGGAGGGAGGAGACGGCTCTGGGCAGGCTGCAGGAGGGCTGTCTGTCAAACGTACCCCTGCTGGAGGGGGGGGTCTGGGGCTTCGGCCCCAAGCAGAGCAGCGAGGAGGAGAGGATGCTGCTTTACATGTGCCGTGAATGTGTAAGGTCTCAGACAGCCTGCTGCTGGGAACACGGGGCTCCCACATGTCCCAAGGGGTGGTGGTAGCAAGGCAAGTGCAGCAGCTCCCAGCAGCTTTCTGGCCAGCCCTGCGCTGATTTTCCTTCGGGCAGCGCACAGCTGGAGCCCCCAGCCCAGGACAGCCCTCAGCCCCTTTGGGCAGGACCAGTGCCTCTCAGTGCTGGGGGCTGGAGCCATCCTGGGACAGGTCCTACAGCACGGCTCATCTCCCTAGAATGTGAATGTTCGTGCTGAGTGGGATCCCACAGACCCAGAGCTCAGGAGATTGGGATTTTTCCCCTTTGTGCTCAGTCAAACCCCAGGTGAGGAGGCAAGGAGCTGGTCCCTGACTCTTTTTCTCCTTCTGTGGTATCAATGTCCCCAGCAGGACTGCAGGAGGGGATGATCTCACATGCCCTGGGGCCACAAGGAGAGCTGCTGGCTGCCTCAGGGCAATGCCTCTTTCCTTCTTGTGTTTCACTTTCCCTGTGCTGTGCCCATAGGAGTGTGTATGCTCCATTTCTTTGCAAACACTTTGTGGTACTTCAGCCTGACCCAAACGTGTCCCCAGCCACTTTAAGGCTGAGCAGAAGCTGCTGGAGGTATGCAGAGAGACAGAGCTAGGACTGAAGCCCTGAAAATCCCTGCTATCTAACAGCAGTCATGTTCCTACAGCCCTTCAAACACTTTTGTAAAAATTCCCCCAAAGGAATCAGACTGTGAGCATGAAAACACATTTCTGCAAAACCCAGCACAGATGAAGTGCCTCTGAGTTTGCACAGTGGGTCTTTCAGAGCTAACATTTACCTGGGTTTCCCAGCGGGAAAGGAGGAAGGAGCAAAATACATCATCCAACAAACATCTCTTTTTTTACATAGCTTTTGGGAAGCCTCCAAGCTTTTACTTCCCTCTGGGTGATCCATTGCTTCTCCCTCTCCTGGGCTGCTATGGGGAATGCTGCGCCGAGCTGCATGGCGCACTGTCCCATCCTCACCCTTCCTGCTGGGGCAGGGATGCTTTGTTTGCCTTTAATGCCTGTGTGATCTGAACCAGCCCATTGTTTTTTTTTCCCTTGGGATCTACCTAGAGAGAAGAGTCTCATGGTGGGAAGCTGCTGGCAGCGTGGCTCAGCCCCAGCCCTGTATCACCGGCGGAGGCCGAGCCCTACACAAACAGCCCAGCCCTCCACTGGGGCGGGCAGGGAGTTACCCAACAGCAGGATGGGGCCGTGCCCAGCTCTGCTCCATGGGACACAGGGAAGGCAGCAGCCGCAGCAGCGCTCCGGTTCGTCACTGCTGGGAATTGTGCCATGCCGGAGGCTGCCATGCTGTCGGCCACCTGTTGTGCGTGGCCTTATTTTGATGATTATTTCAAGATTTCTCCAAGGAGGGTGCAAGCAGGCGGTGTGAGCACAGGGGAAGTAATGGGCAGAAAGCACAGGGGCTTGAAGAGGACAGCCCTCAGGGTCCCTCTTCCGTGCCACCCAGTGTCCCCATATGGCCATGGTGCAATTTTGGGCTGTGCAACTCAAGGGGTAGGTGCCATAGCTGCTGAAATTGAGTGACTGTCACCTGCCAGGGGTGCAAATATGGGTATGGCACAGCCAACAAGTGGGCATGCCAAAGCCAGCGGGGACACGGCGCTGCCAGCATGATGGCAGAGAGTCAGGGGAGGACATGGGAGCGGGGACACAGCAGATGCATTTCGTCAGCGGGGCTGAGGGCTGTGTGTGTGTTGGGGGAAGGGGTGCTGGCTGTGTGGGCGTATTTATGGCCTCTTCTCGCCAGCGCCTGCTCCCTGTGCACACACAGGCTGCAGCAACCCAAGGGCACAGCCCACAGCTCGCTGGACTTTTACCCCACTGTGCAAACAGGCAGGCGCCTGATTAGGGTATCAGTTGGAATTTCATGCTGTCAACGGCACCGGGAGCTTCTCCAGGGTGTGACAGAGCATCTTCCCTCTGTGTGGCTCTCATCTTCCTGCAGGCACCAAAGTGTCCAATGGCACACCGCTCTTTGGGCAGGAGACCCACCCACCCTGGTTCCTTTCCCTTTATGGCACCAGCTCCATTCCCATTGCCTCTCCAGCCTGTTTTAGCCACCAGTGCCCTGCTGTGCCATGTGCCAGACTCAGCAGGGCTCAACACTGGGCACAGCCACTCCTGTAAGGTCACAGAAAAAAAAACATTGCTCTGCCCCTCTTTCTGCCCCATCCCTCCTTTGCTCCTCTGTCTCCTCTACCCAGAAGGACTTCACCCTTCATCACATCCACCTGCCCCACCAGCACATCTTTGTTTGTTTTGAGGCTGGAGAAGCTGTTTTGGGCAGGAATTTAATGGCAGCCCCAAATCTGATGTGGCTGAGATGGAGATAGGCAGTGATTAGATGGGGAAGAGGACAGCACAGGCAGTGGGGACCACCTGTGCCAGCTCTGTCACGACCAGGCACTGATGCCAGCTGTCCCAAGCTCTATCTCATATCCTCATTCTCTGTTTGCTCTTCTTGGACAAGGAGGATATTCAGCCCATCAACAGCCATAAAATGAGATTAGAGGCGGGCAGGCACCAATCAGCAGCAGCCACGTCGGTGGGCAGCTGGCCTTGTTCTTTGGCCTCCAGCACCAGCAAGGCCCAGCCTCACCCTTTTCCCGGCTGTCCCCGGGAAACCATCCGTCCCTTAGCCATCCCCACTGTACCCAAGGGACAGGACGTGGCTGCCTCATGCCACATTGCAGCCATGCTGCCCTCGTGAGATGGACACACAGCACACTGCAATCAGGCTATGGGGCCAGGCTGCTGTCTCCAGGTATCTGTCCATACCCTCCCTGATGGCACTGGTCTGATCACACTTGGGGACATCAATGTGGGCACATGGGGAGAGGCAGCAACACACCCACAGCTCACAGGGCTCCTGCTCACTTTTATTTTTACCAAAGCCTAGAAAATAAAATGTTCTGCCTTCTGTACACAAGCTGTGAGCTGAAGTCCCAGGCCAACACCAGCGTCTGCCTTTGGTGAAAAGTAGTAGTGATGGCCCCAGGGAGATGTCACTGGTCCCCATGGTGGGGGATGCAGACCCTATTAAGGGGCTGTAGGTGCAGTGGGTGTCAAGGAGCTGTGCAGTATGAAACCCCAAACACTGTGAGTTCTAGGCCAGAATGGGCTGGGAGCGGACAAGGGGCTCTGCAGGCAACAGGGACATCTCCACTTCTTGTTCCTGCCGGGGCTCAGAGTGATGGTGCTAGAAGAGGATCATGAGGGCCGCTGAACCCTCACCTTGGTCTTGGGAAGCCACAGCCCCAAGTAGGAGCCTCAAACCCTCCTGTGTCCCAGCACACCCTCTGGGGCACCCAAAACTGGGCTGTAAGGTAGCTGAGGCAGTAGAGATCCAAGGATTCAGAAGGATTAAGGGGAATTTTAACTCTGATTTCCAGGAGGAAAAAAAAGCCATTGGTTACCAATGGTGCAGCAGATGGAGGAGTACAAAGCAGGCAAAACTCAGAGCCTTTTTTGTTTTGGAGTAAACAGCACAGACCCACCCATCTCTCTCTTCAGAAGCTGGCAATCCATCATCTTGCACCAGGACATGTCCCATCACCATGATGGTCCTGGCAGCTGGTAGTGCCTTGATGCAGCACGGAGCTGTGCAGGTTCTGCAATGCCATGGGTAGGTGAGTGGCCCTTCTGGGCAACCTGGAGTTGTCCACTGTTCTAACTGCCAACCTTGTTCTTGTTCCTCCATGCTGGAAGGTGGTCTCAAAACCTCCATAGGGAGGTCCATCTGTAGGACAGATGTCTGCAGGTCTCACGATGGTCCTTTGTTGCCACAGGGATGGAGCTGGGGATGGTAACTGGGGGACATGGGGGACGCTCATTGCCATTGTCTCAGTTTAAGGAGCCCCCATTCCCCCTCCAGTCCCAGTGCTGAGGGTCCTACCCAGCTCCTGCTGTCCAACTCGCTCCAGGCATGGCAGATTCCACAGACAATCTCAGTTGAGATTTGTCTGCCTTGAGTCCAGCCAAGCCTTGTCTTTAGTTCAGCCTCACTAGAACTGCCCCAAAGCAGCAGGCAGCTGGACCACCAGGAAGACCGCGCAGGAAGCAACCCACCGGCTCATTCTGATGTTCCACAGAAAGGGTCCTCCACCATCACCTAAAGACTCATCCCACTGGTTTTGGGCTACCAATGCCAGAGACCAGCGCATGTTTCCTACAGGAGAACAGCACTACCTAACATAGGGGCTTTGTGTAGGACAGAGCTCATCAGCCTCTTGGGAAGGCGACAGAGCCACCGTGCCCCAGGGGACGTGGTGTCTTTGGGTGCTCAGCAACAAGCTCTGCCATGTAGTGCTTATCTCTCAGTGTCTATGGCTGGCGGAGGGGGCTAAGGCATGAACTCCTCCTTGATGGTGAGCGGAGACGAGGAGACAAGGCTTGGGGCACTGCCACTGCAGAGGGTCCCCATGGGCCCCGGCGTGCCCACGGCTGGGGGGGTTGGCGTGGTTGTGCTGGTGGGCTGGCTCTGCTGCTGCAGCTTCTTTTTATTCACCTTCCTCTCCTTCGCCCTTCGGTTCTGAAACCAGATTTTCACCTGTGGAAAGACACAGATAGCCATGCAGAAAAAAAGGGCACGTGGACAAGGAAAAGCACCCCAGGGGCACCATGGGAGCTGGAAGTAGAATGGGAATGGCATTGCCCTCTCTCAAATCCATCTCCAGCACTCACCTGCCGTTCAGTGAGCCCCAGGGCAGCGGCCAGCTCGGCCTTACGGCGGATGGTGATGTAGCGGCTGTAATGAAATTCCTTCTCCAGCTCTAGGCGCTGGTGGTCTGTGTACACCACCCGGTACTTGTCCTTTGTCCTCGTCTTGCCTGGCAGAGAGAGCAGAGTGAGGGTGAGATGATAGGGCTGGGGGACAGGAGCATCGCTGATAGCATGGAGGAACTGCATGAGCACACAGAGAGCTCTGGAGGAACGTGGGACCAGAGGATAGGAGTCCTTGGCTCATATGGAGTTTGATATCTATCCTGGGTAGCACCAGGGTGTTTC